GAGCTAGCTTCTTATTTGCTTTGGACGTTTATCTGCTCTTTTTTAGGGCCGCCCCCTGATAGACAACCAAACCTAAGAGCTTTTGTTTACTGTGTTTTCAGTGTATCCAAACAGAGTGTCATTAAATGCACGAAACTCCATCAAAGAACCCGGTCTCTTTTTTTTGTGTTTGTGTCTGTTTTGACATCTCTGTAATTTCACTGACCAAGCCAAGCCAAGCAAGGGTGTTAGAGGTAAGTATGTTCCACTGTTCCACATAAAGAAAATAATATCTGATGTGGACTCAACAACCCCAAATTACTCGCTCTGTGTGACCGCATATCTGCAGTCTTTATCGTGGACCTTATCCAGAGCTCATTGCAGACTTGATGTTTGAAGGATGTTTTGTCCAGCCCCCCACCAACTGTATCACAACTTTTGCATAGTATTCAATAAACAAAGCAAGCATATGGACGTGACGGGACAATCACAAAAAGGTTTATCTGTAATGACAACATGTAGGCTAGGCTAGTTAATCAATGTAGTGGTACAGTGCAACTGTGACACACAAATTGGAGGCTGGTTATTGTTCTTTTAGAACAATGAGTGATGTCCTGATAAATTTGTCGTATTCCTCGTTTTGATAGCACCTCAAGTCCTCACAGAGTTGCACACTGCACGCCTGACATCATTGATGTCCATTAGGGTTCAATAGGCTTTATGGGCTCACAGGCCTATGTGACATATTTTGTTATGGGAATTGGGTTTCTGCTATCTGTGAGTTATAGAAAAGTATATGGAAACACTAAAGTGCATGTTTTCCATGGACTGTTAGTGTTGTAAGCATAGAACATCCAGATAAGCTCAGGTTCTAGTATTGTCGATGTGATGAGGGTCATTATTGAGTTTAATGCTCTAGTCTAGGTGAACCTTGCAATCGGAAGTCACATGTCATGACCAATTATCACCAGTTTATTAGCCAGATAGCAACAAGGCAAAAGACACTCAAATCATATGATTGAAACCATTACTCTCCAAACTGCAGTTCAAAGGGTGGAGAAAGTTGTGATACTGATTCACATTTAAAGTCTTTGCTGTTCAGTTCAATCAGTACCACCTTTGCCCATACCACTGTCAATAACAGGTTTGTAGACACAGGGGTAATCAGACACAGGTGGGACTAACAACACAGGTGAAGACAATCAGGACAATCACAATGGAGGGAAATCAGACAATGACAATACAAGAAGCATTGGGGACAAGAACTAAAACAAGAAACACTAAAGACATACAGAGAACTTGAGAATTTAACAGTTGCAATACAAACTAGGACATAGGGTGGATTCGAATTGTCCCTCCTATCCACTTTCACTATCCACTTTACCTCAACCCCGGGGAAAACGTCATGAGGTTAAGGAAAGATGTTCGGAGAATTCATAAAGGACTAAGGGAAAGGCGATCACTTAGCTCTGACAATCCGACCGCATTTCCACTAGCCGACGTAATTTATGCGACTGCGGAGGTCAATGACGTGGTTCTGCCGTGGTGAAACTACAATTTCCTACTTAAAGTGAACTAAAAAACTTTCGCCTGTGCCATTTTACCAGTGAAATAATCCTAATTACCACAAGGTAACTTAAATGATCTGCGTCCCTTTTTGGTCATTGTTAGTTTTTCTTGTTCTTCCAAGGCATCTACACTAAACATTATATAAGAATATAGGCTATAAAAGCAATGTTCACCTTCTTCACACTTACAAAATAAAAAGAAAGAAAGAAATCAAATAAATACAAAGGCAGTGACAAATTCTAAGTTAAATCAATAATTAAACCAAATGCAGATTGTCCTCCAACAGATCTCAGTCCATACAGGGTCATTGTTAGTTTTTGTGAACGGTTGGATGCACGAGTCGCGCAAGGAATTGTGGGACGTCATTACCTCATCTCCTTTTGTAACGAGGAAAGGTGCTTTCCTCAGCTTTTAGAGAATTCAAACGACTCTTATCACTTAGATGCTTCATTTCACTCAGTTAGTAACCTTTCTAAGAAAAATAGACAATTTGAATGCACCCATAGCAAAACACGAGGGTAAGAAATGACAAAATAAAACAGGAAACACTAAAGACTAAACTTGGAAACTTTAGAATAAAGAAACACACATGGGAAAAAAACGACATCAGGGAAGAATGAGACAAATTAAAACAAGAAAGGAAATCTAAACTCTGAAATAAACAAAATACAAAACTGAACCAGACGCTCATGACACTATAGTCGTCTATTTCTACCTCTGACGTGGTGTTTGAGTCTGACTGTATGTGACGCATGGTTGTATGTTGGCACATTTAAGCATTAAAGCAACTTGCATTTCTATTTTCTTTTGGTTGCAAACAAACGTCTCCATGACTGTGTTAAACTCCTCCCTGTAGGTCTGATTAATGAACTGTGCAGTAGGTTAGATTAGGTTGGGAGCTATAATGTTTTCATTACAATAAGAAAACTTTCCACTGTGTTCCACAGCATGTGATCTCCATTATTTAGCTATCATCCCACCAATTCTCATGGCAGAGCATTTATAGACGTCCTTAAAATTCTACTTTACAGTCACTTATGATTACTTTTCAATATGTTACTAATTCATTTCATCTGCAGCCCAATGCAGATGCAGGGTTCCATGTTGTTGTGGCATTTGAAACTTTATAAAATGCTGAATAAGAATGGCTCAACCAGGCAACTTGCTTAAAAAAATGTGTTAATTAAAAATGTCTTGTAGTGTTCTTTAAACAATTTAGTCAGTTATACAACTCCACAATAAATCAAGAATCAGTGAATTACTGTTTGTCTTGCTTTCTGTATCTCACGCTGTGTTTTGATTTGCCGGTCGGTGCCACATGCTCACACGGAATTCACTGATGCCAGAGTGCAACAGTGTAAAAAGTCTGTTTGGAAATCTCTCAACTTATTATATGACATCGAATCTGTTTCAAAATCTACTAAAATATCAAATTTATAGAGGGATTTCAACGTTTAATCATCTTATTGCAATGTTTCTTTGACAGTAAATCAAACACAACACATTGTTGGCTGTTTGGAGACTAACACACAGCTTAGAAAGAGTTTGTTATTCACACACGCTACCTTTAGTTGATTAAGGACTATAAAAATTTACATTTTTTTTTAGAGTTTATTGCTGCAATTAATCACATTTTGAATTAACTATAGCTCAAAGTATTGTGTGTTACTATATGAAATCTCTTTCTTGAAGTGATTAACCCACAGTATTACTATAACTCAACTCTTCAGTTCCCCTCAACATATGGAAGGCTTTAGCATCTTTCAGCCGGATGTTTGTGTTCGTCTGGAATGTTTGAATTCTCATTGCTCCCAAACTTCTTTATTTTCAGAATGCAACCATTCTTCTTCTCTGTTTCAGCAGAATATCTTTGATAAACCCACTGTATGCTACCGACCTGTCACACATGATTGAACAGAACAGAGTTTGACTAGCTGGTGAACAAAGTTTCCTGATGCTGGATGTGTAAATGGATTTCTCTATTTCTAAAGGATCTTTTTTTTAGAATATAGTGTATCCAGGGTTGTGTTTACAGTGTGTTTCCCATGCCCCCGAGTGACCAAATAAATCAACGTATGCAGTTTTCAGCCTAAATTTTGTAATTGAATGCTACATCAGACCACCAATTGTCATATCAACGGCTTTGGAAGAGACACTTTGTCTGCTGTTTGTCAGGACAACTGGAGATAAAACAGGAGTTCCTTCAAATCTATAACAACCGCAGACCCTGGAACAGCCCACTTGAGAACTCTCCCCACAAAGTGAACACAGATGCATGCTGGTTTGTCACCAAGTTGAAGAAATGCAGCAGACAGAAACCAGTTGGGTTATGAAGAAGCTGGTATCAGGCATCACTGAAGACGGTATTTGATTTGAGATTGGATGATAAGTGACGTTAAAACAGAAATCAGAGCCTGATGCTGAGAAGCAGTGTATCACCTAAAACAGGTGTGAACATATTTCAACTCCGCCATCATAAAGTGTTCACTGACACCATAACTGTGGGTTTTTTGGTGTCTCATTTATGACAAAGTACTTCAAAATGCTGATTTACTTCACACTTTTCTCTGCATTCACTTTCATGTGTGCTGTTGCTCCATGCAGACTCTCCTCAGACTCCTTAACAGCTAACATGTACCAGCTGTTCAGACACCCATACTGTACTTTACCTCCAAGGATTCCTAACTCTTAAAGAAATATAAACTTACATAACATCTAGCTGAGGTTCCAAGGCCAATGGAAAAGGTTTTATGCGAGGTTGCCACATAAATTGTTTTAAACCTCAGATGAACATATTATAATGTTTCCATTGAGAATGTTTCCCCTTTGTTCTTGTAGTGGTGATGTCGACCTCCATTCCTCACCCCTCCCACCAGTCCTTATCTCTGGCATTTGTGCAGAACTCCTCCTTAGACATGCTTTCCTTTCATCACCAAATGGCATCAGCTATTTTTTCCTTCATGCATCTCTCATTTTACCTTTAGATTTCCTTTAATAGGGGGTACATTTGTGACTTTTCCAGGGCCAGTATTGGTCTAATCTTTTTTGTAATGTTTCCTCATGGAGATGTATACATAATCATCACAAGCTAACTGGTTACATGCAGAAGACTGTGAAGCTGTTCACTTGTTGGAAAATGTTTTCACACCCACTGCTTTCTCTTCTTTGTGCTCTGACATGAACTGACTTTCTGCATGGTGCAAAAACTCTTAAGCTGTCAAAATAAATAGTTTCAAACTTCAAAGCGTTTTTCAAAGTCCAGTGTTGGGATGAACTGGTTCTGTGACTCAAGATCAAATAAACTGTGTTTCATCTAAAGGCGTGTAGTTTAAGAAGTGTATGCTTGAATGCTGAGGTATCTTTAGACAGCGACTGAAGGTCGGAGCGGACTGTATACACGGTGCACAGAAACTGTGAGAAGACAGAAATGATTGTGAAGCTGACACAAACTCTACATTTTCAGTAGTTTTATTGAAAAATGCCTCTTCTGTTTCAGAAATAAATAAGAAAATAAGGCTGTGTGGAATTCACAAAATGTGCAGTGAAAACATGAGAAAAGCAATTCTATGTCCATAGTCTTGCAACCAAATCCAAACTGCATAGATAGAAAACAACAACTATATTCCGACCTCCTTAGTAAATATACAACACAAACATGCAATTCCACCTTGAGTAACACACACAAAAAAACAAAAACAAGATTGGTTTGTTACAATATGTCATATTATCATTTGGTTTACAGGTCTTGGGGAAAAAAACAACTTTTGGGATCAAATTAACGGTGACTTTCTTTTTTCTTTTCTTTTTTACTGGTGGAGCCTCTGAAACAGCTTAACATACTGAAGATTGACAAAAAACAAAACAGGGGAAGTCTGAAAATTTTCATATACATACATACTGTACGTCCTTCAGCATACTTTCTGCTGGTTTTCACATGATTAGTGCATTATACATTGGAGTCCGATAAACACTTGCAGTTATATTACAAGCAGACAGTTAAAGGGAACACTTGGCAAGCACACAGGTTTGTGATGAATGAACATGTAGGTTTGCATTCATCTTGCTAAACGTTCTCATGTCAAACAAAATATAATGTTCAAAATAACCAGGGGTATCAAACCCATCAAAGTACTACTTTTGTACTGTAAATCTCGATCCTTATGTAAATGATCAGGGAAGTCGTTTCAATTTTACACTTTCGGCATACTCCTTATTTGTAGCTATGACGCTAGTCTCTCTGTTTTGTCCTGTGGTAGTGATCTCTTTCCTCGTTGGTTTCGTGTATAACCGGGTGACTGTATTGTCTCAAACTCTCCAGTTGGCTCCTCAGGTATAGACACTACCTCAGGTTCAGGTGGGTAGTTGTTTGCTAGAAAAATATTTGGGATTGCCAATCAAAAAAAAGGGTATGTGTTGCAACTTTGTTAAAATGCAGAAATTAAAAATGTATTGCACTAGGTCATTCCATAAAGTTCCCTTCCTTAACTTCCTTAAGTACCAAAGAAAAAAAAACAAAAAGCTACATGAAAAAAAAAGAAAAACTTTCAAATGCTGTGATGACATTTACAATAAATTCATCAAGTCACTGGATAATAAGATGTAGTAAAATAACCAGCTCATACTACAAAGGACACACGGAAATGGCAAGAGAGCAACATTTAGCACTGGTGTGGTCAGCATACAAAAGAACAGGATGATTAAAAGTACAAATGGAACATGCTTCACCCGGACCAGAGCTGTTTAAGTCACTTGAGGTGCTGTGAACAGAGGGTTATGCTGATGGTAAGTAAGCAGCGGGTTATGAGGCACAAGCTCAATACAAATGTTAACTTGATTTTTTTAGTGAAATGTCCTGATCATACATCATTTACAAGGCACAACAATTAGTTTTATTTACACACGACCTATACTGTATCACTGCTTCAGATATGAAACCCACTTTGTTAGTACTTGTTTTATGGTTGGTAATAGTACATGCTCCTTCCTTCGTAGAAATGTTCAGTCTCTGATTGTTTCCCACCACCGGTTTGTGTTTCAAGATGCAAACAGGCCAGCAGGTTGCCATCATTGTAGCTGGTAGCTGTGAGATGATGTTAGTGCCTGTCCGCTCCGTTCTGTTTATTGGCTTTCATAATGTCTGTTTTAATGTTCAATAATTATGTCCATGGTGATTATCCTTACATGCGCCATAGAAATATGGGCATACATCTCAGAATCGGGACTTCAAAGTGGGAGCGGCACAGGTGACTTAGAGGGTTTATTATGCCAAACCTGAAAATAGTTCAAAGTAGGTGTAAGTTTTCTCTGTGGAACAAAGTTGTAAGCATCTTATTTGATTTAAAGCAAGACATCATTCACCGCTTGCTAGAGTGCTTTACATGCCAGTAATTGTTCATCAAATGTATGGAGGTATTGACGCATAGATGCTGCTAACTGACTGTTTGCTAAACTCTGATGCTGTGATGGTCTTATACTTGCTTGAGGTGCAAGTTTTAGAAAATGTTTACAGGGTTCTGGTTTTGGTTTAAGTTAACTTTAGCTAAATGAAAAAAGCCAGGGATACATGTTTTCAAATTACTCTATTGGTTTATTGGTTTATTTGTTAGGATCCCTATTAGCTGTACCCTAGAGCTCTTTCTGGGGCAGAGCATAGACTGTAAATAAATATGAATGAAACCTGAGTGACATCATCCATTGGTTACTGAAGGGGGCTTTTGAAGCCCGCTGATGGCAGTCACCATGCTGGAAATGCTGTCTCGACTTAACCTTCAGTCAACCTTACACAGGCAAAAAGCTGGAGCTGAGGCGGGTTTACACCGCGCCCGCTGGGCTGTCAGATCAGCCACGCACCTTATTATCAATGATTCTTGGACACCTGGATGAGTTATTAAAAAATGACCCCCTGTACAACGTGTGTGAATAAAGACGTGAGATATTCAGACCATTCAGATTTCCTTTTTGAATCAGGCTTAAAAAATGTTTACTTCTGCTGTAAAAACAGGCATTTTTAATGGCTTTCTGTTGCCGGCCTCAGGTAGACATTCGATGAACTGCAGGTTTTTGCAGTTCCGCATTGGCTTAATTTTTCAGCAGTCGGGTTGCTGGTTTCTCTAGAGCCAACGTTAACTTAATTCTTTTGCTAGCCATAACTGATCGAATATGCTAGCTAGCGTTTTTGGGGCGTAAATAGCCTTGAGGTTATATCACATGCCCCCTTTAAACAGAGGCAATAGTCTTAACAGTGAGACTGCGAGGACCCGTGAATGATCTTTGGCACTTATCTGCATGGTATTCCCCACTCTCTCACCCCAGTTTACCACTCTATCGACAGTCATCTATAATATATGCATTAAAAAAACCTTTTTCTAAAATCAAGTAATTATTGTATCAAAATTTCTTCAAATTATAATGGGAAATTTGTCAACATTACCATGTGACCAAAAGGTTTAAAATCCAAACAGCATTAAGGCAGGGCTTAGTGAATAGTCAGTCACCTGTTATTTTTTATGAATATAAGCTTCTTCAGCTTTCTGTTTAAAAGTCAGATCTTTTTCAAACTTACATTAATATCTCCATACATTTTCATAGAAGAAGTGCACTGAGTTGCAAATGTCATTAGTGTGCATACATTTAGTCTTTAATCTAATCATCATATCATCATGCAGGACCTAAACTTTGTTAAGTGTACCTGTGTATCCTTGTCCATTGTAGGGAATGCCAACACACTGAGAGGAGTCGCAATATCCAGCGGGTCCTGGTGGTCCCCTCACCCCTGGAGTACCCTGGCGACCTGGAGGGCCGCGAGCCCCAGAGGAGCCAGAAGGTCCAGGGGATCCTGTTCTTGACTCTCCTGGTGGACCTGCAAATGGAGAAGAGAAGGTAAGTAAGGTCAGTTTGAGAAGTCTCTTGAACTCTGCACAAAACACAGCTGGCATCACCAGTAAATCTTCAGTGAAAATTGTGGGGCTAACACAGGGTTGCGGCACTGTAATTTAAATTTTTCAATGGCTCAATTAAAAAGCTTGACCAAGAAAGAAAAAAAAGTCTTGAACTGCGTGAAGCTAGCCCCCCCGGCCCGTCTGTCTAGACGGCAAAAAACTCAAGATGGAATTTTCCCTCTCTCTCTTTTTCTCTCCCTTAAGTGAACCCATGTGTTGTCAATGAAGCCACCAAAGAAAGCTCATTGTACCTCAATCCAATTCTCACATAAATATACAGTACACACACACACACACACACACACACACACACACACACACACACACACACACACACACACACATCAAAATGAGTCATCAGAGTGGACTTCGTCCCACAGGTCTTTAGTTGTTTCTCAGTTCATTCATAGAAACAGACATGTCACTGTTTGCTCTTGTGGGGTAGACATCAACAGAGGGTTCCTGTTGTCCTGCAACAGTTCCCTTGGGGACATGAAACCTTCTGAAGTGGGGAGGTTTTTAGAGAAACATATTTGATACCAATTAAGGAAAGGCTATGGACTTCTTCAAACTGACAAACTGGCTTCATAACAATTTGTAGCAATTGTTTCTAAAACTGTCACGACCTCGAATGAAAACAGATTCAAGATTGTCTGAACTCTATACACAGAAATTCTTCCTTTATGATAGACATAAATTCCTTTCATTTACTGTATAAAATCTGAGACTTGAACAGTGTTTTGAGAAGCTCAGTGTACATGAGGCATAAATCTTTAGGAAAGGAAAGAATTGGGAATATGTTTAGGGTCCCTCCAAAGAATTTATGTGGAGCAGCTGCCCAAATGAAGGCACATTTACTATAGGTACATTTTGGCCCTCTGGCTGGAATGTGTCATTTTAATTGGACTAATGGGAGTAGTCTGTGGCCTTGAAATGTCCACCAAAAAGGTAAAAAAAAAATCCTGTCATCGTAATTGTGAAACTGTGTTATAGTGTAAAGATAAAAGTAAAAAAGGAAGTGGTCCAGAAGACTGTGTGCAACTGCAGGAGAACAATGTTCATGAGGAAATATGGTCAAGAAAAGCGACATAAAGAAACAGTTATTTTACCTGGTGGCCCAGTTGTGCCTCTTTGTCCTCTGATACCAGTTCCTGGAGTTCCCCTCTCTCCCTTCTCTCCTTGCAAACCTACATTAACAAGAGACAGGACACAAAAACACCATGTTTGTAAATCACCAATATCTGGGAATTGGTATAAATTCAAGGGCATCTAACAAACCACAAAAACAGGAATTCAGGGTGTAATATTATTTTGTATTGCTTGAATCATGTGTAGATTTTCCAAGGCAATTCAATAAATATTTATGCAATTTATTGTTCATGTCACCATGACCTGAACTGGTTCTTTTTTCATTATTTCATTTTCATTTTCATTATTTCATTATTACCTACTAACTTAATGATGATGGTTTCGATATCATTGATGATGATGATGATGTTGTGATGATTGTTTTTTGTTTGATAACAATGACTTATAAGATGGTTTCTATACTGATTAGAGCTCTCAAGAACTGCCCTCAATGTTGTGCTTTGCCTCTGGTCACTTCCTGTCAGCACCTGTGTGTCCAATCAGACTCAAAGCTGATCGTTTGCTCTTACTGACATTGTTCCCTTTTTTCTAGATCCTTGCTTGTGTTGTACTTACTCTCTGATGTACGTCGCTTTGGATAAAAGCGTCTGCTAAGTGAATTGTAGAATTGTAGAATTGTATTAGCTTATTTTTTCCCTGCAGGATTTGCAAATTTTTGAAAAGAAAGATAAGTTACCTCTTTCTCCCTGACTTCCAGGTAAACCTGGGTTTCCAGAGAAACCAGTTCTACCAGGCTGTCCAGGCTCTCCACGGGCTCCCGGGTCTCCAGGAGGGCCAGCAGGTCCGACTGGTCCGGGAGAGTTGCTACGGTATCCAGAAGGAATCTGGTTGAGCATCATGTCAATTCGGCTCATCTGATCTGCAAGAGAAGAAAAAATAAATCAGTTTGATATGGATTTCATGAATGCTTAAACAACTTTGAAGTTTTCTACAGGTTAAAAAAAATTGCTCACTGTTCACAAGCTGTTCACAAACTTGTCTGGCAATGGAGCGCATCATGTTCTGAGATGCAATGTCTCCCTGGAAAACAAAAAGATTTCATGAAACCATTGCATTGCTTTTGTTATTGGACAGCTAATTGACACCCCATTTAAGGTACATAGAACATAACAAAATGCATACCCTCTCTCCTTTCTCTCCTTTAAGGCCAACGGGTCCCTGTTAACAAAACAAACAGTCTTAGTCAAAAACTTAGGCTACCACTAAATGTTGTCATGTGTCCATTGTTTGTGTCTCATTTTTCAGTACATACAGGATTTCCTGTGTCTCCTGGTTTCCCTGGTTTTCCAGTAATTCCTGGTACACCTGGATTTCCAGGGCCTCCCTGAAAAAAAGGAAAAAACACAAAGTGTAGTGTTTAATTCAAATAACCGCACAGTAAACATAATTGCAACGTTTAACTCCTGCTCCCTGTTAACTCTCGTGTAAGAAGCTTTAAGTTGGGAGCTATGCTTTGACATGTGCAGTGGGGGGGGGCATGTGGCACACACAGCCAAGAACAGTAAAGAGATGGAAACACACATGCACAACATCCTACACGGATAGGATGTATACACAAGCACACACGCGCACACATGCACACACACACACACAGACACACACAGACACACACACACACACACACACACACACATCAGCCACCATGAACTGCTAATAGGTTTTGGAGCACTCAGGATGGTATAGTTCTTCTGAATTCTGAACTGGCACGCTGCCTGTTGGCATTATGGTTGGATTAAGTAGAGTCAGACGTCCTCAAACCACAGAAGAAAAAAACAAGATGCATGCACCTTTCTTATAACAGTGAAGGAGCCTAGAGTCTGCTCTTTTATGTTATGTTCCAGCTGAGTGAAAATGTGGAGCCAGAGGAGTAATTGTTGCAGATCTATCAGAAATTAAAGCACGCTCCAAGGGATATTTATTTTGGTCTGAACTGAACAACACAAAGACACAGAAATAATCACACACACACACTCACCATGGGTCCTGAGGGGCCTCTGGGTCCAGATGGTCCCTCCTTTCCTGGTGGCCCCTATGTAGAAACAACATACAATCACACATGGGTAACAACACACCGGGGACTTCGTTCATGCAATACATCAGTGTCATGGCTTCATACTGGTTTCAGCTTTGAATCTGTCTTTATAGGTTATGTTACGGAGTCGTGGCTTACTCCCGGCTTACACAAGTGACAACATGGAGTGAAACTGCACAAAGCCCCAACACTGCTTCTGTCAATGCTCAGGTAAGTGGGTGATCACATGCTAAACATTAACTGAATGAAGTGTTGGATCCATTGCAGGCTTTTAACAAAGTGTGAACACTAAGCAGGCATGGAGGTAGCTCTTACCCGCGCTCCGCTAGGTCCAACGGGGCCCAGAGGACCACGTGGCCCGGGTGAACCCTGGGAAAAAAGCAGACACACGTAATCAAATACAAATGATCAGGAACTAGACATTAAAACAGCTCCCTAATGTTTCTTTTAAAATAGAACTGAACGAAAAAAACTTCTATATCCCAGTTATTAAGCCAAAAATAATATATCATCTTGGTACTAACAACTGGAACAATTTCGTTTTGTCTGTTGACACATGATGTTTACAAGACAGCCCCTGCAGAGAAAGAGCTCTAACAATAAGCTTTATTGTGTAAAGTAACCAATCCAATAAGCTCTTAAGTTCTGAAAGATGACTTTCTCCCAAGTCTCAATTTGCCCTTTCAAAGGCCAAAAATGGAGATGCTCTCTCCCATTGAATGGTGGGAGTTTTCTGAATGACCTCATCTGAGAGAATGATGGCCTGCTCAGCCAAAAGATGCTGCGTGGTACCAGCCCACTCTAAAATGATCTCAACCAAAGGATTTTCCCAGGGATTCTGCTTCTGACTGACAAAGCAGTGATTTAAGTTTATATTATTTATGAAGTATGGATGTTAAAATAACCGTGAGTTTGGTTTTGTTTAACTTCATTTTCATCCAAAAAGTCCAAAGAATGACATATTTTATGAATCAAAGGGGTTCAATTTTCAAACATACTTGAAGTTTCAACCAAGTCACGATCATCTTCAATTACAAGGCTGAGAGAGAACATGTTCCATTCCCTGTTTCCCCCTTGGTAACATGAGTCTGGGCTCCATAATAATTGAACGGCATCAACCGGCCTCCTACTGTTTGTCAATCATCAGGCTAGAATTGAGAGAGTGGGTCTCCCCTGAGGATGGCATGGTAAACCTCCCACTCTGAGTGTGGTTTCAATCTCTCCATTTGGACTGGATCCAGGCTCCAGTAGCAAGCCAGCTCTCTATGGATAGTCTCCTGTTTCCTGTTCATAAACCACAAAATGGGAGGGGGGGACTTACTTGCAGACCAGCCAGGCCCGGGTCTCCAGCATCTCCCTTTGGTCCTTGGCGACCCTGAAGGTGCAGGAGGTTGAGGAGGAAAAGAGAGATTTGTAAGAAGCTTTAGTCTTTGTTTTATACATGTCAGTGTGTAAATGTGATTGATTTGATGTTTTGACAAGAACATCTGTAAGTAGGAGAATAAAGGGTAATGAGGAGTTTAGTGTGTTTTGACTTTAGACATAAATCCCACTCACTGGTGGTTCTGCAACAAAGAGCTGTTCTACTGTTTTCACACACACACTTATACTATCATGAACAGTACCCATTAGTGACTGTATCTGCCTTACACATTAATCTCCATCTACCACAGACATTTAAATATTACTCCCCTCCATGGATTTGTGTACTTTAGGATTACTTACAGGTTCTCCTGGTAGAGACAGTCCATTAGGGCCCTGTGGACCTGGGGGTCCCATTGAGCCTGGGGGTCCAGACTCACCACGTGGACCCATTGGACCCTACAGCATAACCCCGAGAAAAGAAACAACCATTTTTAATAGCTTTATTATTATCAAAGAATAACCACAGTCTGACTTTTTATTGCAAAAATACAGATAATGGATATCAACATTGAAAATGGGCCTTAATGGTACTTGACAAAAACAACATTAAATCAAGTGCATGAAAAATATACAGTTTATAACTGAATATGGATGTGATTATGTAACTAACGCAAAACTGTAGCTGGTCAGTAATCATCTCTTTAGGAGCAGCAGAGTGAGAATTCGACTTGTCATCTTGTGTGGATTAAGCGCTATTTATAACATCAACAAGCTTCACTGAATGTGTACAGAGTTCATTAATTAGACTACTTATGTTTCATTTGGAAAAGCAACAAAGTCCAAAGAAAAGTATGAAAAATATACATCATGTGTTACTCACAGCATTGCCTTGCTGTCCTCTATCTCCTCGTGGTCCCTTAGAGCCTGGACTGCCCTGAAGGAGTAAGGAGCCAGAGTACAGTGAGTGTAACATCAGGAGCAGATTCCAGAAGCACTAAAAAACTCCAAGCTCTTGGTAATTCCTCACTGGGGCTTAAAAGGGTTACCAAGCACACATATCCCAGACTTTTTTACTGCTATTTTTTCCGACAGGCATTTATCTTTTGACACTTCTCCCTAAACCCACGTTTCATTGCATGCCAACGGTCTGATCCTAGACTGGTCTTTCAGAAGGAAAAAGAAAATACCACTCCTGATGCGAGGGCTATCCTCAGTCTACTTCAGGTCAAAATGTTAAGCAGCTTATTAGAACTGTACAGCTACTATAATGCCAGCAGAGAAAGTATGGCCTTGTGATCATATTCAAAATGTTTTAGTCTTCTGAGAAAAACATTCTACCAGGTGAACACAGACAAATTTAGAGGAAGGGAGGACGAAGCACAAAATTCAGGGTTGCATGTTATTAGAAATGTCTTTACCGAAGGTCCGGGAGGCCCCTGAGGGCCAATGCTGTCCTGGGTGCATGTGCAGGAGTGGGGCAGGGATGGACACTTGGCCTCATCTCTCTGAAAAGAAAAACAGAAGATAAAGACATTTGGAAAGAGAAACACACACACATATACTTTAACCTCTGGATAATTAAGACCATGCTTTGGCACACTACAGAATACAAGGGGTAAAATGGAAATCCTTGATGTAACTTTGTGACAGTGTCCTGCCAAGCCCCTGTTGTTTTGACTTTGCAAAGACATTAAGAAGAAGTGACGGTTTAGAAACCCATCAAAGGTCATGGTGGAACAGTGGCTTATGAACAAAAGCTGTTAAGTCTCTGCTGGGTCCTAAGACCAGATGCTCAGCAGACTTTGTCCACATTTTTGGAAAGAAGTCTTTGATATAATTAGTTACATAACAACACTGCAATCATTGAGGTGATTTATTAATATCTGATGCAAATTATAGTTGAATTACTTATAATTAGGTGAATGTGCATGCATCCTGTATTTACCATACTTTGTCATAATGGATGACATTTACTGCCTGCTTCGTCATCTAAAGGAGGTCTAATTTCCGTGTAATTGGGGGATCAAACTGGCAACGGTCCAATAAGCAAAAATTACACAGAATACAAGGTTCTATTCAGTTCAGCTTAAGCCTCTTAATATTAACAGCATTCTAGTCATCAGCCTAAGAACTACATACTAGCACACATGAATCTCTGAAAGGGGATGTATGTTTAGTCCTGCAGTATATACAGATTCACAGTGTTCCTTCTACTATTAACATTAAACCACAGCTTAGAAGAAAGAACCCATGAGATCAATTGTTAAGTTTTACATAATTCCCCCCCAGATACTTCCCCTACAGATGGTGTTCCTTAAATGACACTTGTTCTTACTGTGGCGGGCAGGTCGCAGCATTTGTCTCGGCTGATCCAGCTCAAGCTGCAGATAATATCGAACATCTGGAGCTGGAACTACACAGCAGAAGAAAAGACAAATAAAGGGGTGTTACAAATGGCTGTCATTAGTGATAAAAATGCACACTGTTGTAAAAGGACAACAATGAGTTAATTTAAAGAAACAAAGAGATGCAGGCTCTCATCCCTGCAGCACTCCAGGGGAGCAGTTAGAAATGAATTGTGCATCTCTACGCACAAGAGGTTTTTGGATATTAATGCATCGGAAACTTTTTTTCAAGCCTTCCAATTTTTGTCATTTTTGCTTACTGTCGCAGACTGCCTCTTTCCTCCTCCAGACTTGACCATCTTGCCAAGCACTTCATAGCCATCCAGTGTGATGTTGTTGGCCTCCTTGATGGGCTTCTCTGCCACCTCTTGGCAGTCCACATTCATCTTGACTTTCTCTGGAGAGACGGTGATGTGGAGCTGCAGGAGGGAGCGGATGGAGAGAGGGCACTATTAACAAACCATTCTTGTCTTCCTTATACTTCCCATCTGCAAACTTTGTTGCAGCACACACATTTGGCAAAGAGTACTAAGCACTTTGGAGCTTTAGAAGAGCTGTTTGGCATACATTTCTATTTGGAAGTGGCATGATTGCCTTTTTTAAGTAGGATGGGAAGGTATTTAAGAAAGTGCAACCATAAGGCCAGAAACAACCTCTGTGAACCTCTTTAAGCCATGTTGTCTGAAGACTATTAAGATGCTGATACTGTGTTTCATGTAATTGCTAGATTCAGGGATGTTTAGTCTCCGCTGAACCACTTTAATTATAGATTCTGATATTACCCCAGAGTGGTTACTGATTTGGCATGGTGCTGCTGTTTGATGCCTCTAAAGATGAATGGACTATAAAAAAACAAAATATACAATCGTTGCCATTTCAAAGCTGTAGTCTGTGATTGTACGAGAACAAAGAATGACGGAGTGAAAGGTTTTGACGTTTCCTGTCTAGAGATCTCTGCTCCACATCTTGAAATGATATAACCAGTGGTGTGCCATCAAAAAGTCCTACATTTTCCATACTTTCCCCACACAGTTGCAAATTTACCCCTGATCAGGAGTCAGACAAGCTTCCTTTATGTCAGGAAAAGCAAGCTACCATTTCTTTCTACAAAGCCATACCAACCACAGACTAGGCCACAGCTCTTGGCAACCAATCACAAAATTACAGTTCACTTCCTTGGCAACAGAAAAAAGTATTTGGCGACCACAAAGTGGGAGGGGGTGTCGTTTATCCTGGGATCCTGGCCTGGATATGTTACACCATGATGCTCGTCAGGGCTAACCAAAACAGCTTTGGATGATATATTGGGATTGCAAATGCTGAGCATGTATACATTACCTCACTGACCAATAAGTAAACACACAAAAGCCCATTAGATACTGGAAAATAAGGCCTCAGATGAACTAGCCTTTTAGTGACCACTGGTCCCTCAGTTGATGCTCTTTGTAAAGTGATCAGGTTGTTCTGCAGGAAAGCACTGACAGATGCACAATTTGCATTCACCAATTGTTTGCACATTAGGTTTCACTGCGCTCCATTGTGTCAACACACAGTCAAAGAACAGTAAGTCTTCAGGCTGACAATGTTTCTGCTCCAATACACTTGACATAGCTCAATGAATTCTATCAGACCAGAATTTATTGTACTTGGCTTTTACTGGCTCATCCATCATTTCATATTCCTGAGATTTGAGGGCCCAATGCCTTTCATTTCATGCATGCACTACTCAGCAGGTGAGAGTTTTAAAGAGCCCATATTATGCTCTTTTTGGGGTTCGTATATTTAACCTATGTACCTACTTTTGTACATTCACAATAGCTAAAGTTTGAAAAAAGTGTCTGTTTTCATGTACTGCTCCTCCTTTCTCCCTCTCTGCTCTGAGTCCGTCAGCTGTACTCTGTTGAGCCCATACTGTTAGACCCCACGTGGGCCAAGTCTGCTCTGATTGGTCTGCCGATCCGCTCTGTCGTTATTGGTCAGTTGCTCAGCACGCTTCTCGGAAATTTCAACATGAGCTGCAGGGATTGCCACAACGAGCCAATGGGCTTAGATCAGTGATCTCACACTGACAATGACGTCGGACTGACAAATTTTTATCGAGGGGGGCTAGAACCGAGTGTTACATGCAGCTAATGCTACAGCTAACAGGAGGACGTAGGAGAAGCCGCGTTTCCGCGGACTTTGAATTTTTGCACATAGATGTGCCTAAACATGCACAGGACACTTGGAGAACACACTAAAGGGCATATAAAACCAGAAAAAGCATAATATGGGACCTTTAACATTACATCCAAAAGTCAATAGTTTTAATTTCGAGTAGAGGGAGATCCATAATCAGCATGGAACCTCCATCAGATTTCTGTTTCAATGCAAACAATATTGGGCAAATCATAATCATGATCTCATGTATGGGACGCCTCCATGTCTAATCTGGCATAGAAAATAATCAAGACTAAGTGGAGATCTTTGGGAAGAGAATTGAATACACAATTTCCTGACTTTCTTGTGTGTTTTTAGTGTCAGCGTGTTTACATGTACAGGTCACAGATAAAAAGTAGATTCATGTCCAATAGAAAGTCGTCACAAAAGGCAGCACAATAAGTGCTTTCAGTGGAAGTTTTGGCAAACACCTCCTTCTCTCTCTTAATTAGTGTATGCATGTATTGGCACGAATCTCTGGGTGAGGAAAGTTTGAAGGACAAAGTTTTAGGTTTTTGTGGGTTTTGGGTTTTTTTCCGCTTAGAGGCCAATTGCAGTTCTCAGTGACCACAGCGAATTGCATGTTCATATTTTGCCAGTTTATCCCTGAACTCGAGTAGTCACTGCAACTCATGGAAAATGTCCTCTTCACTTCAGTTAACAGGAAGGTTCCCACTGTGGACTCCCACCCCTTGAGTGTGGGAGGGGATTCCCCTGCGGGCTAGTGAGTGGCTTGCATCTGCTCAAGTAATCTCTGAGAGCTTTCCCACATGTGAAGCTAGCAGGAGAACATGACCCCTCCAGCCTGGGTTACTCTTTATTAACCAGCCTGAGGAGCTGAACTGCACAAGCACTCAGTTCAAATGAGAAAATACTGGCGGGGTGGATTTGAAAGGATTTTGTTACAAATTCTGACTGAAGCCAATAATTAGTTTGTCCGACAACACTGGAATTGAGGCTTGAGATATGCTACAAGGCAAATCCATGATTAAAGATACCAGAAATGAAAGGTGCTGCTGAAATGGTAGATGGTGGAAGTAGTTGCTCTTGAGTAGTCCTTAGTCTTATGTGTTGTGATGGCCAGAGCATGTCCCTAACATGTGTAAATAAATCAAGATGTTGTTGCATTTTGGACTGTTGGTCAGACAAAACAAGACATTTTTAGATACAACCAATGGCTTGAGGGACATTTGACATATTTTTGAATTTACTAAAACCATAGGGGAAAGGATTAAATAATTGAACACAAAAAATGTATAAAGATGCTACCGCCAGGAAGCTAATGAAAACAATTCTTAGTTGAAGCTCTAATTCATATCTAAAACACAAAGATTAGCTTGTAATTTAGGGATTTTGATATGTTTACCTCATACATGGAGAGTATATTCAACAGACATTTGTGACAACCCTAAAGGTCACTTTGAGTATGGACACACATACAAACACACACAGAAAAACACTGAGGTCACTTTGTAATAGCCATGGACAGAGTGTTGGCAAACCACTTACAGCATGTAAACACATGCCACCACAGATGTTGGCAGTGGCATTTACTTAGCAGACCAGTAAATAAGTAGCTAGGTAGACCGCTGCAGAATCACAAGCTCATGGAAGACCAACTACTGCACCACAAACTAGCCACCCAGTGTACATGCAAGACTGCAGGCTCCACTCCATGGCCACAAACTGGGAGAACACACACTTAAGTACACACACAGATCAGGCTGCACTCCAACTAGACCAGCAGTGATGTCATTACATCCAGTCATGACCTAACATTTCCAGGGTTCTGTTCATTCACCAAGTTACCCTCCAATTAGTTGTGAAGATGCTAAATGGTCAAACTGAAATGCCCTTTACAGAAAACTCAAACTTGTTGGCCAATATGTCACATTCGTCAGATCCTTGGTTTAAAACTCTTCTCTGTAATATCAGGTAGTGGGCCATCTTTGATGTTTGGTTATTGTCTGGTTATTCACTTTGATTACCTTAGAATGAAGAGAAAATTTAACTTTTGCTCCGAAAAAGAGGCCATGCTGTCCTTGGGAACAAACTCAATACGATTGGACGTGGCTTTGAGTACATTGGAACCAGTCATTTTTCCACCAGCGATAAATCTAGCATCTTAAGTCGTTCCAGGACGTTACTAAAATATAATGTCCTCTATTGTTCTGGTCTTTACTCCCCGCTGTGGTGAAACATATAACAGAAGATGTTTCATATTTGCTGCTGTTTCGAGTTGGACTGAAAGGCATTTGATGTCTCTGTTCACCTCTTGCTGCGCCCACAAGAGAATCCATAATCTAACAATGCTGTTTATCATAGTTGTAAACCTGGCAAGTGGGCTTAATCCAGGGGGTTGCAAACAATAACACTACTGTGGATGGTTATTGTTGTGAAGTGAGATGAAAAGAGTTGATAGATTGTTTGAAGAGTATTTGATGTTAATGAACCTTTTTATGAGCATTGCCCTTGGGGAGATCAATTAATTGTTTTACATGAAAGGCAATTCGGATGGTTGCATGAGTATCTTTCAGAGTCAAGAAAATTCCAATAGGAACCATGTGGATTCGACTTTTTCATTCATGATTGAAGTTTTCAGCCAATAATCTGATTTTATAAAAAATTTGGCCAAAGTCCTCCCACAACCACAAAGTGTCTTGATACATCTTCTAAGCGTTATACACTATTTTATTATATCTTAGGCAAAAGTCTAGAGCAGCATTGCAACTATTGTATGCACAATGTCAGTTTCCATGTTTTGGGATGGACTTTTCAACTTTTCAGTCCTCTTTGCCTGTTCAAGCCTTTTATCAAGTGTAAAAGCATCATCCTGATATCATCATCTGAGTTCAATTGAGCTGGACGTTTAACTACACCTGTCTATAATGTATTTAAAATGAGTTCATATTACAATTTAAGACGTGGAGTTTGAAAGACAGGGGAAATTTCCAGGCAAGGGATCTCTAATAAAATTTGTAACGTTGTTGCTGACACTTATGAGGTTTTGGATTTTGTTACATCAGTTTCAGACATTATTTTTCCTTATGTGTGTGCTAACATTTTAGTTAGTAAGTGCAGAAGTAAAAAGTTGGAGAACTGTTTAATTGAAATACCATACAGTTTTCTTATTTAGTTAAAAAATGTGCAGAGTTTAGAGTCTGATTCCTGAATTAAAGCTAAATAAAAACAAACCAAATACAGATAGAAAATATACATAAATAACATAAGTTTCGAGTCAGTGCCCTGACTAGTAACACAGAGAGAATTAGAATTAGATTAGCTTGGAAACCTCCAGTTTAAGCTCCTGTCTAGAAGTGGTCAGTCCCTAAGGGTTTACTGTACCAGTTTAAGTCCATGAGGTATTCAAATTTTCCATCAAAGTCTCTAAAAATGATTGTATAGCCTTACAAGGCATTAATCAAATCAACTTCCCATTGGTCTAAAAAAGTAGCGTCAAATCACAAACAAAACATGGCAGCAGAATCGAGACTGTGCCGACAGCTGAGAACTTTTGACAGGTAACATGAAACAGCCACATGGCTTTGCTTGGTAATCCTCTGAAAATGTAATTCAGCCTTCTTAAATGAAGCATAACGTCGCTCAGAGGCATCTGAATGGATTTGAAAATAATATCTGTGAAAGGAAGTGAAAAGAATGAAAACAATGTTCTGAATGTCCCCAGATCTAAAAAGGAAAATCAACAAGCATGTAACCACAAAGGACAAACAGTCTGTCCTATGAAAGCCCGTCTTTAAAAAAACATCACTCTGTGGCGAGCACAGCACTCCTCTCTTTAAGAATCATACATTGTGTTTACCTTGTGGAAGCTCCCATGGAAAACCCTCTTCACTTGCTCATCATTAAACACGGCTTTCTGGATCTCTCCTCGGGTGTCCTTGTTGTAGAAGGAGATTGTTTTGCTTGAAGCTGAAAAGAGAGGAGACTTTGATGAATCCCTGACAGTGTGTTAAGATGCCGTGGCACGCAAAGCCCAGACAGGACTACAGAGAACACATGGGTGTGGAAAGAGGAACGGGATGGAGAGAAGGCTTGAAGGGATTAGGCCTATGCTTGTAATTATTTGCATGCATTCACCATGTGTGTAAAGCACTTTTGTAAATGATACTAATTTTGAAAATAAGGGCCTCATGTAGAGATAGAAAAACTCCAGTCGAATAGAAAATCAGAATATGATTAAGAGAGAGATCATATTTATTTCTGTAAAATAACATTGACATTACTTTAGCATAGCTGTAATTCAAATCATATCTGAGATAGTGCCTTAATTTTGACTTTCTGTAACTGAGGTCTAGAAAGAAAGCAGCTAAAGTCATTAAAAAAAAAAGGGTGTACAGCTGTGTGTGTGTTGGGTGAGCTACAGCAGATTTCCCCCTCCAGCTGGGGGCCAAAACAGGATGGGCGGCTTACGGTTGACGGTGACCCCGACCTCAGGGTTGTTGTTTTTGTCGGAAATCTGCCAAATATCAAAAGGTTCAGAGGGTGTGTCTGGCAACAGGCGGAAGAGCAGGATGATGGTGTAGGATGGGGGAAGACCATCGGGATGGATCTCCCTGTTGTGTTAAAAAAACATGTGATGAGTCATTAGTCAAGACTGTGCCCTCATTTCTCAAGCAATCCACAATGTCACAATTTGAAACCAGTAAGGCCTTTACATCTTGCAACTATGACGCAGAATCCAGTCGTCAAGTAAGCCTCAGAAGCTGTAAATCATTGAGGGTTTTTTTTCTCTGGCTTTGCAGAAATTGCCCACATATTGGAAGTATTTTCTGTCCCCTCTCATTCGCTGCAGTTCGAAGTGCTCTAAATTGTGTGCGTTAAGATAATGACTCTGTCCACTCACACACAATATGCCTCACTTTAAACATATGACAAAGTGTGTAAGTAAGAGATTTAGATACCCTGCAGTAACCTAAGGCCACTCAAATGAGGCCCAGTGAAGAGGCAAAGCTCTCGGCCCAGGGGTTGTTTCTGTGGTCATTATGTGATTATAAAACAGGTGGGAGGAAGGCCTGGTTCAGGAACATTTTAATTCCTCAACCAAATTATTTGGTTCCTCCTAGAAGCTCATATTCAAAAAGCTGTAACAATGAATAGGCACTGGGGAAGCGTCTTTGACTGCAGGGGCTATTGAACATCATTATAAGTAATGACTGGTGGGCTGAGCAGGATTATAGTGCACAGGAGATAAGACCAAAAGGCTGGGAACATGCATATGATGGGAATCACTCTCCCTCACTTTGACACACACACACACACACACACACACACACACACACACACATGTATTTTTAAGTCTCAGCTCTTACTTGGTGGGCTGGTTTAGGAAGGAGTCTTTGTGTAGTCTGTAGGCAATGTAGCTGTTGAAGGAGCCAGTCTCCATGGATACACCGTTCATGCCAGCGAACGTCCGGTCAGTGATGTTGAAAGCCTCCAGCATCCTAAAGCCTGGAGAGAGTAAAAGAGTGGACTATTGCAAAAGCAAAACTTTCTTAAAGCAACCATTTTAGTTATTGTAACAAGCTCTTTATGTAATAGCTCATGTCTATGGTGATGATGTACACTTACCAGGAGTTGTGAACCCATTAATGTAGATCAGAGGACAAGCTGAAAGGGACAAAAGTTGTAGAGGGTTAAAACAGAGTCAGCTTTATAAAGTGTTCATCTGAGTGTTCATTCCCTGACTGTAGACCAGTAAATATATAAGTGATTACGCAATATCTAATCATATACAATGGTGATGTTTCAATAATATATCAGTGTTTTTCTTACTGGAAGTGGCCGTTTCACAGATAAAGGTGATCAGGTTGTCCTGGATCTTGTCAAACTCGTCGTAGTCGTTCACAACAAACACGTGTCTGTCACTGGGCTTGCTGCCGATAACTCTCAACTCGGTCAAGTCCACATCGGCCACTCCAACCACAAACACACTGTAGCCTGTGTGAGCAAAACACACACACGTAAAAACAAAGACTATTGTTAGGCTTCCAATAACCACAGGCAGTTTCATCGCTATTGGGATTATTAAAGAGTTTATAAAATCAGCCACAATCTTTGGCTCCCGTGAAGGAAATCGAAGTTTGGGAGCAAAATGGGAATTCGGATAATCCGAAACAGCTCTGTTACATAGAGTATGCACTGTAGATATACAACGCAGACCAAAACACACATGGAGGTGATTTATAATTTCACACATACCAGAATGCTGCAGCCTTTCTGCACTCTTCTTTACTTCATCCTGGGACCGTCCATCTGTGACCACCACCAGCACCTTGGGGGCATTCCTCCTCATGCCACTGTCTGAGGTGAAAACCTTCTCATAGACGTGCTTCAGAGCAACGCCTGGATGAAGAGAGATGATATGATCAATGAGAGAGCAGATGGAACATGAAGTCTGAAAATGCATCTTCTCTCGGTAAAGACAGAGAAAATAGCACTCTTTTTTAGTGGGGTACCTGTCTTTGTGTTGCCTCCTCTGTAGCGCACACCCTGCACCGCTGACAGAACTATGCCCTTGTCATGATAAGTGTTCAGCTTGAACTCAGTCTTGGCATCATCACTGTACTGGACAAATGAAACCTGAACAAAGACAACAAATGAGACGTTTACTAAAAAAAAACATCCAAGAAATAGCAAAACATCTTTAAACACTGCTTAATGTGAGGCCTGAGCAGAGGAATAGACATTTAAGAGAGCACCCAGATTTATGCTGACCTGCATGCCTCTAGGACTGATGACATCAAAGGCTCCTGTCATGCTCTTGACAAACTGGATCACTTTGTGGAAGCTGTCATCTCCGATACTCCAGGAGCCATCAATGAGGAAGACGAGGTCTGCCTTGGCACCTTTGCAAACTGCCAGTGCAGGAACAATGATGTTAATTTCAACCTATATCTACTATGCCAAAGGAATTCTTTTTTACAGAGCTCAAATGCTAAAGCTCTCCTCACCATCCAGTGCAGGAGGGACCTTTGCTGGAGCAGGTGGGGTGGGAGGCTCAGTTGGCACCTCTGTGGGTTTGACCACTGCAGGAAGAAGAAACAGAAATTAAAAAAGGGCAAACTATACTGAGAGACTGATAACACAAAAGATGTTGTATGAGCCAGTAGCTTCTACCGATTGGCTCAATGTGTACAAGATTGTGAATTATTTGCATTAAATTGGCATAGTCATGGTTATCTTACACGTCCGCTCCTTCACACTAACACCAGGGCCCTCCAGGTTGGGGGTTTGGGCGTAAACTGTGGCGTTGTAGAGGGTGTCAGGGGTCAAGCCATCAAAGCAGTGAGTGCTTTCTGATCCTCTGATAGTGATCTCCTGAGCTCCACTTTTAGAGGCTTAAGAACAGGAAAATCCAGATTAGACAAATTGTAACTACCCTTTTTTTTTATACTTTCAATGTCTAATTCAAAAATACATTCATAGTGGTTCATAGAGATTAAGACTTACTGTCAAAAGGATTGACTTTGAGTCTGTAGGAGGTGGCAGCTCTGTGAGGGGCCCATCTGAGGCAGAAGGAGTCATACCCAACATTGTAGGTTGTCAGATCCGTCACATTCAGGTACACTAAAGGGAAGCATTGGCCTTAGTACATATTGTTCTTTCACAAAAACATTTGACAATTGAAAGCTGCAAACACCCATTCTGTGCTAATTAACCTGTCAATGAAAAATAAAACAGTACAATCAACGTACATGTGGTGCCTTGTCCAATCAGAGGTTCACTGAAGCCTGTGCTGTACTGCGCCTGCACCTGCAGGTCATAGGTGGTTCCAGGTTTCAGGTTATGCAGTTGGTGGGTGGTCACGTCTCCAACCATCGCCTCTAAATACTCATCAGAGCCTAAAAAGAGACAATAAGAGAAAAAAAAAGTGTGTTAAAAAAGAATCTAAATTAATTGTATTGTTATATTCAATTAACAAACACATTCATACCCTCGGGCTTGTAAATCAGCTTGTATCCACTAACTCTGGAAGGGGCGGGGTCCCAGGACACCCTGAAGCGTGTGTACCATTCGTCAGACACACGAAGATTTCTGGGGCCAAGCATACCCACTGCCAGAGACAAGACAAGACAAGACAGCGCATTAAACAACTTTTTTTTTTTTTGCTTCATTACATTGGGAATGAATCTCAGTGTATTCACTCACAGGGGAATTTCTTTATTATTATGTCACCAACAGGATGATAAATTCAACCACATCAGAGAAAATTGGAAAACAAAATATGAGCCGCCTCAAGGAATGGACTGTGATTATGATATGTAAAAGGTTTCCTTTGTTTAAGAAACTAAATTAGGCAAGGCAGTGGCCAGAACTGCAGGCATGAGATTTCCCTCTCTGGAGTACAGCCAGTTCATAATTCTCTGGCTAAGGCTCTTGGTTCTATTGGCCTTGATGAACAGTCAAGAATCTCAATTATTTCACTTCTCCTGCAATGATTGAGGTTCCTAATCAATGAATAAGTCTTTTCAGATTTTCTGCTTTTGTTTCCCTTCCCTGTTGGGTGCATACGTGTGTGTGTGTGTGTGTGTGTGTGTGTGCTGCAGTTTATTCTGCCTGTATGTCAGTATGCTTTGTTTTTTTCACATTCCAAATGATCTTAGCACTAGAAATGAACACGTAAATTGCCAAGATTTGCTAGATTATACCTGTGCGTCCATCTCCTTCCAGCTCTCCTCCTGGTCCGTCACTGTAGATGGCAGTCACTTTGATATTATAAGGAGTGTCTGGATCCAGGTTCTGCAGGACCACATTGTTTCTGTTCCCTGGTACTGTAGTCTACAGGAGAATAGACACAACACAAGAAGGGGATCAATACAAGGATGAATGTGGAGCGGATTATGAGATAAATGATATAGATTTGTATACAATAGATATAGAATAGATAGAAGTTTTAATAGATTTTCTAAAATAATGTAATGGTGTGCAATTATGAAGATGCTTACATATTCCTCAATGGGGTCTCCTGTAGTCTGGGCATAGGTGATGCGGTACTGCACAACAGGACCTTCAGCGTGTTCCCAGTTCACAGTGAGACTACTGGTGGTTGGGTCATATACTTGCATGTTCCTTGGGCCACCTCTGGGCACTAAGTGTGGAGGAAAACAAGTCGGATGAATTACCTGTAAAAGCACCTCACTGTCTCACAAGTACTGCCTTTCAGTGTGACGAGTACACAGCTATGGGTATATTAGAATTGCACATAGCATGACTCCATAGGGCAGTTAAGATTGTTTTGCTACTTGATCACAGTCTTTAAAACACACTGGTCTAGGTTCTTACATGTCTTTCCATCATCACTGATAGTAGGTCCCTCGCCATCGCTATAAATAGCAACAACTCCGACATTGTACGGAGTGTCTGGGATCAGCTGCTGCAGCACAGCTGTAGTCGTGGTACCTGGTACCAAAACCTGAACAAAGACAGAAAACACATCAGGTGTCAACACATTTGGAGAGTTTTGTTGACGCATGCATTTTCAGTATTAAGTCCTAAACTAGTCACTCAAAATGGTAAATGTGTTTATTTTCCCAAAATCCTTAGCTGTAGTCTTTCAGTATTTAGAAAAGCGCTATATAACTCTAATTTATCATTATCATTATTATTATGATTCAAATCCCCTGGGCAACACATACACAAAGAAACAAGTGTGCCCCTCTTCTGACAGCTGCTTTTGTTGTATACTACGTCTTACACCTTCCTCTTACTAAATTGGCCCTTGCTGTCAGCACTAAGTGAAAGGAAGAGCCAAACAACCCTTTGAAGTTTGACAGCTGGCACCGCAGTTTAACCCAGTGTGACAGTGACGGCAGCTGATTACATAGGAGCTGACCCCCCCCACTCTCTCTTGCTGTAATTGTTATTTAGACTGAGAAAGATAAGTGCTCCTAGAGGGCTCTGGCCCGGCGATAACCTCTGTGAGCAAGTGAAGCCTGTGAGAAAATGGGTTAGTAAATCTGTTAACTGTCTCTTTTAATGTTACATGAAAATGTAACAATGACCCGGTGGATACTCCAGTTTTGTCTCGACTGCGTCACTCACAGCCTGCTCCATTCTCCCCTGGTCAAAAATGTACTGAGGTGCTTTAAAGTCTCAGAGTAAGAATAATATTACATGCAACACCAGTAAAGCTGGTAATTCATGCTACAAATCTCCAGCTGATGTTCAATTTGGCGGTGCTGGATGAGAAAGACCGCATTGCCACTGATGCGCATCTTTGGATCTAGCCATGGAAAGGCGCCTGAGCCTGCCATGTGCAAAGATGCAGGGATAACAGCAGAGCACTCCTCTCCATCAATAAACTGGAAAGTGGCTCAAACATCAAAGCCCATGTTTTAAGTGTCACAGAGAAGAAACCATTCTTAATTTTTGCAGTCTTTCATGCAGATGCGCGAGAAGGCTTATGATGAGATGTCTAGTAGCGCTTCAAACGCTGACTGAGGATTCTTTAAACCACCAAGAAATCCTTTGCACATGATGATGTGGGCACACTGACTCCAGATGTCACATATAAGGTGCTAAGAACTGAACTTGCATACTTAGAATCTTTGCGTTAATGAACACAGTTGGGTTTAAACCTTGTATCCAGCTGTCATTAACTGCACAAAAACACTTATATGGACCATTTGGTGAACAGACTAATGTTTTCCTTTTAAACTTAAAGATGACGCTGTTAGGATGGTTACTGATTGGCAGAGTTAAAACAATTCAGAGGTTTTTTGGTTGCTGTTTGTGCACCTCTGCAAATCTTTTTTTTTCAATCCATATGTGCTATACTACACTTATTCCACCACAGTGAATGGAAACTCACCGACTCAGAGGGCTTGGCCCCATTCAGAGGAGAATAGACCACCCGGTACTCCTGGACTGGGCCTGTGGCAGCCTCCCAGCGAACACTCAGAGTGTTGGTAGTCGGGTTGAAAACCTGGATGTTCCTGACAGGGAGACGCTCCACTGCCGAGACAGGAATGTTGGTTGGTGCGAGTGTAATAATAGGTAGAGACAAAGATAAGAAAGGAAAAGGTGAGGGTGAGGGTCATGGTAAGTCAAATCAAAAAGAGTGGTGAAAGGAAGATTGTTCAGAGTAAAGAGTGTTGACAGAGCGAGGTTAAAGGCCAGCCATTTAAGCGGTTTTGTACAGATGAAGAAAGAGGGTGAGTAAGGCAGAGGAGACAATAACAACGAGATTGCTAAGGTCAGGTACTGACAGGTAAATGGGGAATGGACAGGGGTCAAGAAATTAGAGGTTTAAACCATCGATTACACAACAACAACAAGCGGTAAAGAAGTCCAACACAAACACATGTAGTGTATTCCTATTGCTATATGTTCTGGCACTTTTAACTTTTAACTTCTGTAGTTTTATGAGGTGTTTACAAGTGTTTAAATCAAACAATTTTAAATCCCTTTAATTGTGCTATTGTCATTCTCTCTTTGTCTTATTTAACAGAAACATGGTCCAGACTCATTTTGAGGACAGAAGAGCCCAGTGACTACATGAGAACATTTCAATAAAGGGGAAACAATGCTGCCCAGCAACCAACACAGACAAGTTAAGGACATCATTTAACAATACCGCTATCACCAGGACACTTCCTTTCAGAGCCCTAAAGGTTAATGAAAAGGATAAACAAGGCGTATGTGCAGCTCTGTGTGAAGCTCGCCTTCTTAAAAAACAAAACAAAGCAGATGTTCAGAGGCTTTGTGCCGCTCACCATAATAACCCAATAAACGCAGGGGAAAAACGCAGTGGGCGAGCTTCCGTAAATTAAAGTTTCACACACCAAAGCCCACTGCCTAGAAAGCTGTTTTGAATTTAAAGGCTGAGAGGAAGGCGATAGAACGCTGAGAGAGCTAGAGCTTAAATTTGAGAATAAATGAGCAACCGCAGTTTGACCGGAGATGACACCACTTTCTACAGAAGCAATAAAGGTGCAAGGTCAGCAGTTAGAGGTTCGTCGGCTGATGTACTGTACATACTGTATAAAAGATTGTTAATATGTCTAGGAAAAAGCAACAGAACATGAGGGACCATTACTACAAAAAGGGAAAATGTGGGTAACAGTGGCAGGAATGGAGCGTGACCTTAGCCAAGTGAGTAGAGAGCCATAAAACATATAATGCTCTCCATTCATTTCTAACCCCCCTTCTGTTTCTTTTTCCCAAAGGGGAGCCAATTACTCAATAAATCCCCTCCCCCTAGTGCCCAGACCCACCATTATCCTGACCACTACCCTTCATTCCAACCTATAAATGGACAATATTACGGTAAAGAGAGAGGAGACACCATTATAATCCTGCCAACGCGGAGGAATTCCTTCCGACGCAATCACTCCGCAAAATGCTGACTCACTCCCAGCAGAGATTGCTGGTTTGAAATTGTGGGAGAAGTTGGAAAGTCTGTGTTCTTCTATGAAATTTAAACGAAGCTAACAGAGTTCAAAACTGTGACTTTTTGTTCTCTTTTAAGTTACATTTTGTAACATGCATGGTGTGAAATACGTTTTTCAGTCATTTGCCTCTGGAATGACACATGGCATTTGATGAGTTGGGCTTAGATTACAGGTTTTGAAAGAGTCTGGATTTGATTTTTAAACAAAACAGTCATAAATGACCGCTTTATTGACAGACAGAAACCAATCCAGAAACTAAGGCCAATGAGTTCACTCTGGAAAGACATGAATTGATTTCTAAGTAAGGAAAAGTAAATCCCCAAGCCATTGAAAAGTATGTCATTCCCAAAGTTCCTCTTCTCAGTCAGCTATTCTAAATCTTGAAAGCAGTCATTCAAGCATGTTAGTTCTGCCCCTAAACATCCCTGCATGAATCACTATTTTATCTTGTGACTTTCTCCAATGATTACAAGCATGCAGTGCTTACATGTTTTGCCATTCTCAGACATGCGTTGTCCCTCTCCAGCATTATAGACAGGAACCACAGTTACAGTGTAGACTGTGTCAGACTGCAGGTTCTTCAGCACTGTTCTCAAAGTGCTGCCTGATACCTGGACCTGGAGAGAAATAAACATGGTAGTTTATATAGATAGTTTAAAAAATCTTAAGTCAACATCTTTTGATGCAGCATTTTCCAGCTTACCATCTCTTCTTCTCCTCCTGCTGCAGGGACATAGAAGATCTTGTACTGACGCACGTTGCCCTCAGCAGCCTCCCACTGGACATTCAGGGTGTTGGTTGTGGGGTCAGTCACTTGCAAGTTCCTAACACCACCCAAAGGCTCTGAGATGAGATGAAGAAATAGTGAGTTAATACTGCACATTCACCAAAAAGACATCAAACTACAATAGCTTCACTGTGTCAAGTGTCACTGCCCATTTGTGACCACCTTTACTAGGCGGGGAACTTACTGGTCTTTCCTACTCCGTTCAGATCCTGGCTGACTCCTTTGGCATAGACTGCTACCACGTTGATGGAGTATTCGGTGTCAGGGGTCAGTTTGGGAAGCAGGACAGTGGTTTTCTTTCCTCCAATCTGGGTCTGTTTTGGCAAGAATAAATGTAAGCTTCCTTATCTTCAATCCTCTTTAAAACTATCATCACTCAGGATTCATTGTTCATCTGTTCACAGTTAAAGCCGACTAGTCTGTTTATTCCCTGTGTATTTTTACATCTGTCTTTCAACAGTTTAGACTCTTGTGGCTCTAGTATACACAGTGGGAAACGATATTTGATCAGTTTCTAGAATGGGATAAAAGGTTTTACAACTTTCCATGTGTGCCGTAACTTCAAGTCAATATCTTGATGGAGAGATTACTACCTGGAAAATACTTGAGGAAGAATGTTTTGAGTTTTTTGGATAAAACATTTAGCTTAGCAGCCAAGGTAAATCTGTAGCTGATGGCAGAAACAGTCGGATGTCTGGTCATAAACAGTCAGGACTGGAGATGAATGTACTACATTACTTTTGGCCCAGGCGTTGTGGGAGAAAAAAATAACTCTAAATGGGCTGGGAAAGCATGTTTGTTTGTGGATGTGTGTGAGATAATGTATATAGCTGTACTTTCATGTCTACTTAACCCCCGGGAGGGATTCATTTGTCACTGTACAGCTCTGTCTCCGAACCAACTGGATAATTTTTTTAGCAGCAAAAAAAAGAAGGCTACATCTTCAACATCTGGCACAGCATTTCGTTTTCTCGTACATAAGCGTGGAATGTGTGTCAGACATTTCCGAATACAGCCTTGATTTTCCAGACAAAATAATGAAAACCTCCCTGGATGATCTTTACTCATTGAAATCCTGACAGGGAATCAAGACTTCTTGGCTGATGCTAAGCTTGTTAGCTTCCAATTTTCCATCGACCTCTCAGTGTGATATCACACAGTCAATCAGCACAACAAAATTTCATCAAGTACTAAGTAGGAAAGCATTCCATTTTATGTTAAAAGGGAAACTAATCGTCAACTTCGTGCAACACCAGATGAGCCAATGCTGAGTTTTTACAGAACTTCTGACAGGTTCAATCACAAGCAGAGAAAATGAGCACAAACATTTAGCTGCCCTCTCCAGTGTGACAAATGTTGGATGCCATCTGGGCCTTATTGGAAAAAAAGGTGAAATAGAGTGGAATAATAACCGGGTTAGCGCTTTGTGAAGCACTTTAAACACGATCTACTGCATATAATATGAAACACCTGTACCAGAGTGCCCTGTCATTATACAAACATACATTATCTGACAGGGAAAATGCTTTAAAGGTGCAAACACACATACCTTAAAGATGCCAAAATAGCACAGAGTGCTGAGCGCAGCCATCAGAATACAGTACATGTAAAAATGTGAATGTTTAATATCTGGAGTGTCTGTTTACTGTCTCTCTTAGCTGTTTAATGATCAGCCCTACAAATATGTCATGTGAACTTTTTTTACCAGATTTAATTCCATCTCTCTTAAGCAACTCTCCACAGCCAGTAAATGTCAAGGAGTTGAGATGAAATAGTTTAAGTTGGCCGGGCCATTAACGATGGCTTTAAACAACTTATCAGTGTGGCTATCAATTTGTAGGTTTTTGTGTGTATAGTAACCACAAAGCACACATCAGGCTTTTCATTTTTGACTCACTTAGAGAAGTAATTAGAAATGTCTGACAGAAAATTGAAACCAAATATTTCACTTTCATCCAAAAAGACATTTGCACTTTAGTAGGGCAGCCAAGAGTCCATGACCAGCATGAAACTTTTCCAGTCTCAGAAATAGAGAAAAAAACTTGAAAGGTTTTGTCCACATTATGCTGCCACATCAGAATTGACTTAAAATATATCTAAAAGAATGCAACACCTTTGGTTGAGTTCAAGTTGCACACATATATTTCTCTAAAGGGGATTGAGTTCCAACAACGCAGACAAGAAGAGGATAAGGAATAAGAAGATATTATGTGTTAGTCTGTGGTGTTACTTACAGTCTGGCTCTTGCCTCCAGCTGTAGGGACATAAGTGATCCTGTAGTTCTGTACACGACCTGGAGCTGGATTCCATCTAGCATTCATGCTGGTGGTGGTTTCATTGAACACAACCAAGTTGGTTGGTGGTCCCTGAATCACTGGAAAACGCATTCACACACACATAAATTGCAGTTACAACCATTTCAATATGTTTCTCCATTAAACATGAAAGCACTCTTTCAGTGGTTTCCTGAAAATGATCTTTTAAAGACGCAGTCCTTGATATCTTCAGCAGTTCTAGTTACGATTAGACTTGAGATTAGCTGACTAAATCATTACTTAACTTGCACTTTATCTACTTTACCGTGAAACATAGCAACCTAAAAGTCTAATACTACTGCTTTGTATCAAGTATTGCAGCTTTAAAGATGAAAAGACAAACCCAGTCTGGGATTTTTGTCTTTTCTGAAGCAGTGATGGATTCTCTTGAACAGCAATGGCTTGATGGAAAGATGACAATGAATGGACTGATTAATGCATGGATGAATGCGATGGAAAGATGGATGGATAAATGCGATGGATAGATGGATGGATAAATGCGATGGATAGATGGATGGATGAATACAGGATGGATGATGGAATGGGTTTTGAAAAAAAAGGATTCAAATCCCTGTTTTGCAAGGGCATGCAGCGTTGAAATCCTTCTTCCTTGACATGTGACTGAATGAGAATCTATTCAGAAACAGCCATGGGATGATTGGCATGGACAATGGGACAAACAAAGAAATGGACAAACAAACACATAATAAATGTGTCATGAGTCAGCTGCAGAAGAGCACCATTTGAGCGATGGATGGGTTAAGGACCTTGCTTGATGATGAAATGATGGTTTTCCAATGGTTGAAGTAATAAAACATGCTTTCAGCAACTGAAATAAAAAGCATCCTCTTGTTTTACCTAAATGATACTTACCTGTGCTACTACCACTTTGCTTGGACACTATAGAGGCAAAAATAGAAAGGTATAATGGGCATACCCTTTGCTGAAAGTTTCACTCGGCATATTTCCAAAAGGTAAAATCAAATGGTTAATCACTGGTCTATGTGACAATATTTCTGTTGAGCAGTTTAAGCAGTGTCAACAAAAGATTGTTAATCATTATCACAGAGCTGCCTGGGTGTTTATCTTACATGTCCTCTCAGTGCCCAGAAGATCCTCGCTCTCTGATTCATCTGGATAGATTGCAGTGACAGACACATCATAGGGCGTGTCTGGCTCCAAGTTCTCCAATACGTGGGATAACTCATCATTGTTCAGAATGGCCTGATGAGCAAAACACAAACACAGCATGAAGAAAAGCGCTTGGCTAAAATTTTAGCCAGTGCAAACCAAACAAGCAGCACCGGACTCATATTTTAGTTTTTAGAACTGGATTGGTGCACAAGTCTGTTTTCTAGATGTTCTCACTACTTCCTCTGGAGGTGTTTTTCAAAGCAAAGCCAAAGCACTTTCTGTGAGACCCATTAAAAATGTAAACATCTTGCACAGCTGATTTTCCCTTACGTATTGGAAGTTGGAATCTCCCTTCTTAGTCCAGCCAATGCGGTACAGAGCCACATCAGGGGCTCCGTGCTCCCAGGTTGCTCTAAAGCTGGTCTGGGTAACTTCTGAGAATTGCAGGTTCTTTGGAGCAGGAACCACATCTACAGAATGAAAGGAGGTGGGGGGGGGGGGGGGGGGGGGGGTGTTACGTGTTAGCTCACTTTCATAAAGAAGATTGCAAACAGGGCCAATGAAAATGTCAAATTACTAACAACTTATGTAATTCTTACCGGTGATTCCCTCTCCCAACATGGTCTGACCGGGTCCCTCATCATAGATGGGAGTCACAGCCAGGGCATACTCAGTTTGTGAGACCAGGTTGTCCAGTACTCTGGTAGTCACACTTCCTCCCACTTCCAGCTGTAGAAAAAAAACACTCCTATTAAAGATCATTACATAAAATCTGCATTACAAACAATATAAAGCTCTGCAAAGAACTTCACATGTTTTTCTCCTCAGCCGTATATTCCCAAGACTCATGAAATGCTCATTCTGTTCACAGCACGGGTTTCCTGGAACACTGGTGAAAGCAGGAATTTGCTGCTAATAAGGCTAGTAGGAAACTTGACTTGAAGGGATAAAAACGGCTTGTTTCCAGAGGAATATGGGAACAAACAAGAATCACAACAAACAACAAAAAAACAGCAAGATTTTGACAAAACACCTGGATTAATTCAATGAACCATCCCACTGGTTTTACTGCTCTTGATCCCATAAAGTTTTATTGGGTCAATTTCATGAAATTGCAATAAAGGGATTTGTTCTCAAAACTCATTAGCTTGAACAGTTCCATGTGTCCGTCAGCTCTTCCACCTTTCAATTTAAGTTGAAAATCTCCAAAAGACACCACATTAGTCTTGCTTGATCATAAAACCATTCAAAAACTCTTCACCTGAAATGAGTATGGAAATATATTTCCACCCTGCTGCCTATTGGGCTCTATGATAAGGTTGAACATGACATTCTGCTTCTTTCAGGACAGTAAGCTCCCTCTTCCCACACACTACATTTCTGACATTCACAACTTGGCACCGTAAGTGACTTTCACATGTGTGTTTCCATCAAAAGAGCTTTAAGGATCCCCTCAACCTGATTTATGGCAAAGGAAGTAGCAAAAGCGAACCACGAAGTTCGCTGCTGTAGCCCAAGAACTCCCAAAAGGGGACATGCAACCATTAAGTATTCGTCCAACCCCCGGTAACAAAACCTCACATTAATCCCTGCTAAGCTGTGTTCTGTGAGTTTCATAACCTTTTCATAGGACTCCAAAACTTTCCCCAATGTCCAGCCAGCCTGCTGTAGTTTCCATTATGAGGTCTCAGCTAATATATTGAGTGATCTGTCAAAAATATTGATATCAATTTATCACCATCAAATCTAATGGCTCAAACAGACTGCAGCCACTGAAAGTTGCAAAACATCAGTGTTTGGTACTTAAAAACAAAGGCTGATGACGTTTTGTTTTGAACCAAACTCACTTCTTTAGGGTCTCCATCCTCAGGCTTGTAGGTGACGAGGTACTTGCGAACGGGACCAGGAGCAGCATCCCAAATGAGCTTCATGGTGCTGTGGGTGATGTCACGGACTCTCAGCTCGCCTGCAGGAGGCAAGGGCACTAAAACAGGGAGAGGTAAGTGTCAGTTTCAGAACTGGGTTATTGCTAAGCATTAATTAACTCACTCATTGCCTGCTAACAAAGAACACTTCATCTGCTTTATGAAATATGAGTTTATTGAAATCTAATTGTGATCAATCCACTACATACGTGTGACTCCCTGCTTGGTCAGAGGTTCACTAGCTGACTCTCCATGCAGGGCGAAAAGAGAGAGTGAGTAGGCTGTGTTAGGGAGTAACTTCACCAGCTGGACATCAGCTGTATCCCCGCCAACTCTGACCTGAAAGGGGACCAGACCAAATAAACAACAGGACGTCAGAGAAGAAGGAGATGACAGGGACTCCTTAGTGACATTTGGTTAAGAACAGTGGGAGAATAATTTTGGTTGCAGCACATCTGCTGATTCCGGTTTTTGACCCACTGGGTTTGACACTTCATAAACAAATGATGATGTTCCCTTGGTAGACCGAACTTATGGTTCACCCCCCCGTTTGTGACTAACAATGATTCTCTGTGTTTTCCCTTTTGCCTTGTGTGCTGAATGGTTGGGCACACACTGGCGGCTTTGTAAACTGTCATTTCAAGTGTGAGATCTGAATTTTGTCAAAAACTGCTGACAGTGTGCTGAAGTGTTTGGCCACTTGTGGTGTTGGGCAATGTTTCTTTTTGCATATAAATGCATGTAATCATTGACTGTATCCACCCATAAACACAAGAACATGTGGTCAGTTGTTCCTTGTTCAAATCTGACGAAAACCTCCAGTGATTGACTGTTTGTTTCCAGAGAATGTACTCTTACCTCCTGCTCGACGGTGGGCTGAGTGGCATTGATGGCGCTGTAGAGCAGCATGTAGCCTGTAGCACCTTGCACCTTCTCCCATCTCACACGCATGGTAGTGGTCTGTTCATCATAAATGTCCATGTTCCTCACAGCAGTCAGGGGCACTAGATAGCAACACACAGTGATGTTCAAGGCAAGCTACCAATTACACAACATTTCAATGTTGCTTTGAATGATAAAAAGATGCTCTCGGGCCTTTTGTTTGCCTTTCATGTGGAACAAACTAAACAAGTGCTGTTTTTATAAACTTTTATTGATACATAAAAACACTGGTAAATCTTTGCTGCTCTGGAGCTCATCAATTCATCGTAAATTAACAACATCTCAAAAGATTAAAAGAAATAAATCACATTTACAATGAAGCCAAGTGTTGGCATGTAAGTTGCCTTTGAATTTTGTATCATATTAAGACTTGTTAATACTATCTCTCTGTAGCCACAGGGTATACTTAGATTGCCTTTGATCATTTGGTAAATTGAGACCACAAAGGAAGCACAGTCAGTAGGAAAATTGGCATCCTGCTACTGAGAGGGTTCTGTGATGGAGAGGCTGCTTTTCATCAAAGTAAAGGTTAGAGGTTAATGATTGTTCTAGAGCCTGCTTAGATCTAAACTTTTTTCTCTTTGACAACCTCATTTATCTGCGTGTCCTCATTGTAAAACCCTCTTTGAGTGAGCCTATGTACAGTTTCAGTTACTTTCGCAGTCAATGATCAAAGCCAAATGGCGTAGCTCGGGTGTTTTCTAAGGTTTACTCTTCCAATTTAAACTTTTACCATATTTTGATTTTTAAAAGTTTACTAATTTATTTCATTTTGAACGATATGGGCCTGCAGCTAAGAGGTAATGCCATAAAGGGAAGACATACATGTGTCTCAGTTCCATCCAGAGGTTCGCTGCTCTCCTCTCCCACCACTGAGTAAACGTTGACCAGGTACTTTGTCAGAGGGTTGAGGCCCTGGAGAACAACTGTGGTCTCGGTCCCATCGACAAACACCTAACGCAGAGGGGGAAAGTTAGAATATTGACAAGAAATGAGTTATCTTGAGATTCCTAAGCAGGTTTTGGCACAAAGCTTTTATTGGATGAAATTGAATGCTTTGTATTTACTTCCTGCCAACAAAAAGCAACCAATTTAGAAGCATAACAACCAAAAGCTCTTTCTATCGACACATCTGACTTCAGTATTTTCCAATTAAAGTTTAAAGTTTTCCAATTAAAAGCAAAAATCCCTCTGACAAACTCAGCATGTGTTTCAATTCTGGATCAATAAACAATAATAAAAGCCTCCCCTATGTTCACTATTAAACAAATCCATGGGAGCTCGACAAAAACAAACATCTTTTTTTATGTAATTACATTCAGACACCAGAAATGCATCTAATCCACACATTGTGGAGCCAAAGCTCTGCTTGCCAACAGAGCTATCATAGAGTCATTATTTGCTTTCTAATCCTCTAAACTGAGCGCAGTGTGTTTTTGTTTCCTCCCCCTGTTTGAGATTGTAATGTAATTAGACACCTAAACAACCAAGAGGCCAAAACAAACAGGAGGCTGGAAATAGAAGCTTGAGTGGAGTTTCCCCATTACTTGCAAAAACAGAAAGTCAGGTCATATTATAGCCAACCAAAACTTCAACATCCACACAGGGAGATGCCCTGCGTTTTCTACAACTTCATCAAAGGCTGAACAAGTAGCAGGAAACACAATAAGTGGTGCATTATTGGATGAGGGTAGGTAATACCTGTAGTGGGGTTCCTGATACAGTCATGTACTCCACACGGTACTTTTCCACTGGACCTTCAGGGGCGATCCAGGTGGCTCGGAAGGACTGGTGAGTCACCTCTGATGTAATCAGGTTGGTGGGAGCATCGGGTGCACCTCCTGTTCAGAAGTTAAAAAGACGAAGTATGGGCCTCACATTGCACATTTAACACTGTCATTAAAAAAGGTTTCGCCATTACTTTCTGCCTTTAATGCTGAAGCTGGTCATCACGTATTAGTATGAATTATATCAGAAACAAACATCGTGATTCTTTGGTTACTTGATATTCATTGAAGCTGGTAAAAAAAACAGGACAAGGCAACAAAGGTCGTTTACTAACATGTCTGTACAAACTAAAAAACACATCGCAGTACTTATTAAAACTCTAAAGCCACTTGCCTCTTCTCTCTGAGGAGTTCCCCTACAATATCCGATAGCAGCTCTTTAATTTGATTTAGGAAAAGATGATTTCCCTCTCCACGGACGTTGGAAGAATATAAGGTTGAAGATGAAAATAAAAGATCCGCATGAATGTGTTCCACAGAATGCATATTCAGTATGATTACACTCCTCATTATTTGTCTCGGAATGGAGGATATTTTGTGAATAAGAAGGCGTTTGTCCTTGCACTTCAGTATCCTGATTCCTGTTCCTCAGTGATTCTTTTACTCTGATCACCCAGCTCTGTGCACACTTTAACAAACATCCTTAAGTACCTGGGCCCTTGACACTGTTACAGAGGTTTTCAGTAAGGCCGTCAACGATGTCCAACAGGAAGGAGAAGTCAGCCACGTTGTACATGTGGATAGAATGCGGATCACTAGCAATGGACCTCAACTCGTTCTCATCAGCGTTCTTCACACCTACAAGGGGACATTATTCATTTAGAATTTCATATGTATTAAAAATCACTTTACAAATTAGTTGATGTTCGCTCACCGATTGCATAGAGCTCAATGCCCTGATCACGCAACGCCTGAGAGTTGATGTTGACATCGTCCTGGGATTTGCCATCAGTGATCAACACACCGATCTTTCTAGCGCTGGGTCGCATCCCCACATTCTCTTTGAAATTGTTCTGGAGGAGGTAGTTCAAAGCCAGACCTGCAAATATGACAAAAAAATGTTACTACTGCGCTTTAAGAAAATGTGTCTACAAGCAAAAAATGTAACAGATTGAGTAAAGTACCAGTCAGGGTGTTTCCTCCTTTGTATGGCAGGTTACCAACAGCTTCCAGGAGAGAATCCCGAGTTGGATGAGCATCTAAGTGCCATTCAGTTTTTGGGTCTCCACTGTACTGAGCAAGACCTATAGACAAAAATAAAACCTTTGTTATACCAATGCAGTTTCTTTCCTTTTAACTGTTTTACTTCTTTACAAATATCAAATAATGAGTTGACTCTACTTTGACATATTTCTGTTAGACCTACCAATTTGGACCCTGTTGGGCCCAATGTCAAAGACTCCCACCATACGGGCAATGAAGGAGCGAATGGTCTTGAAGTTGAGACGTCCAATACTCCAGGACCCGTCCACCAGCAGCACAATGTCAGCCTGTGCAGTGGTCTTACACTGTACATCTGTGAGGGCAACATTTCAGAATCTTAATTCGATGAAGTAGACCATTTGAAATGAAATATACATATTTTAAAAAATGAAAAGGTCCAACTCTCATGTACAAAAAACTGTTGTGTGTGGTGGATTGTAATGATGAAAGAGGTACTCAAAGAAGTACATGTAGGAGAGGAAAAGGAAAGAAAAGGACAAGAATTATATGACATAAAATTTCATTATAAGTCTGGAAACAAATAACATAGAATCAAACATCATCCACAGTTATAAAAAAAAAGAACATACTACAAAGCATATAGTAAAACATTCATTTTTTTATTAGAGTTGTTTTTCCCAGCTGTTGTAATGATCATCCTCCTCTGTCTGGCATGTCGAGGCAGTATTTCTGTCAGTTGTTCCGTTTTGAATCCATGAGTCTCAGGGGCAAATCAGGAGAGCACGCCCTTAATGGCCTGTGACATATCAAAGGCCTCAGTTGGGGAGATAACTGTGCCCTCCAGAGAAGCAAGGTAATATTCAAATCCTGTTTTTCCAAAACAACTGTGTGATCCTCAGCACCTGAAAGAGGGCTGCAGATGTGCACTGGAGAAAGGCAGATGTTACACTAACTGCTACCGTCTGCAACTGAAAACAGGTTAGCATATTTGATTTACAGATTGTTTGCGTTCGGAAAAATCTTTGACCCCGCAACCCCTTGAAAGACAGCCAGCTGGTAAGCTTTTCACTCCTGCTCGCAGACGGGGGGATTACAAAGAAAGTCTGCAGAGGTACCCAAATATATCAGCTAGCACACAGTACCTCCAAACAGACAGGTGTGTAAGAGGTAAAAGTCCACAAAATAAGAAAGCATAACATCTGAAACTCAAAAAATGTATTTGGGAAAAAATGTAATAAATGTATGCTCTCCTGTAATTTAAGATCATTCTTAGTAAACTAGGACAAGAAATAAAAGATACTTTTTTTCTGTGTGCCACAAACATAACTTTCTTTCCTTTCAGAGGCTTGTTGAAAACTGGATTGTAGCCAGTAAGGGAGAGTAAGACTCTCTCACCTCTTCTCTTTTATCTTCTGAAGCTGCTGAATCTGCCTCCTTATTAGGACCAGACCTGCAGCTGAGTGGTCAAGCTGACCTTTACGGTTCCTTCCAGCAAACACAACGTTTTTTCCTTTTCTCACACTTTCTGCCTGCCGCGCTCTGACTCACAGAGTAGTAAAAACATTGTATAACTGCAAACACATTATACGTGTATGGCTTGAATCTACACTGGCTGTACTTTGAGTGGAAATAAAAACGCGGAAGCCCGAAGTGACACAATGAAGAAAGCGAGAAAAGGGCAGACAGCTGAAATAGCAATCTGTTATTTTGTGAGACAATTAGCTTTGAGGAAAGGCATTTAGATAAACTTCTGCAGCTTTTTTTATGAGGCATGAGTTTACATTGTATATTCCTTGGAACAAATTTACAATGTGACACCGTCTCAATGTTTGACTGTTGCTTTCCAGAGTCATAGCAAGACTGGAGACGCTGCCTTAACATTGATTATAGCCAGACAAAGTTATGACTAAAACCATTTCATTTGTTGATCTTTGAGTTAATTTTAGCATACTTGTTTTCTCTGTTTTTCCTTTGATTATTTTGTACTCTTTTATTATAAATGTAGAGTATTTTTAGTAGAATATTGGATAACATTACCTGTCGGCACATAAGGTGGAGGATCAGGTGCATCAGAGAGAGTGGTTTTCTCCTCTCCAGCCAATGGCATACTCTCTCCTCCTTCAAACATACCAAACACACTCACGCTGTATTTGGTAGCAGCTCTGTGGACCCAAAAAACGAACCATTTTCAGATTATAATTTTTTTGGTAGGACATACTGGATATGGAAGTATCAGTCGGAACTAAAGACACACCTCAGCTCCTCGAGCACAACAGTGTTGTCATAGGGACCAACCAGAAGTTCTCCCGCATCCTTATCCTGCCCAACTGGGTGGAAAGTGACTTTGTATCCCTTAACATCACCAGGGGCATGGTCCCAGGTCACACGGAAACTGGTTCTTGCAGGCTCTGAAGTCTGAAGGTTCCTGGGACCTTTGTAAGGGGTCACTGGGGAGATGAAAGACAAGCATTGATTGTGAAGTGAATGACTGGATTAACAAAACATGTTATATAAAATTACAATAAATACACTGGTTAGCTGTAATATGGCTTTAGTTATTTGGAGTGGGATGATTATGATTGGGATGAGGATGTGGTTTAGTCTGTAATGGACAAATAAACCTTTTCTAAACTTGGCAACAGAAAGAGCAACATTTGTGGTGTGATGCACGATAGACTAACGTACGTGTTGTTCCTTCTCCTTGCCTTGCTTTGCCTTCTCCAGTGCGGTAGACTGGCAAAACGGTGATGTCATAAGTGGTGAGGGGGGTGAGGCGTCTGAGTACGGTGGAGGTTGTGCCACCAGCTACCTTGGTAGCTAGCTGCCGCCCTCCTGCCTTTGGTTTGTAGGTAACACGGTAGTTGACTACATTTCCAGGTGCTGGTTGCCATGTCACCTTCATGCTCTTCTCGGTCTCCTCAGAGACAACAATTATTCTTCCCGCTGCCGATACTGCAAGAAAAGTAAGAGAGAAAAAAACAATGATTAAAAGAGGAGAACTGATGACTGAATGTCTGAGGGAAATGTAGGCTTTGGACCATGTTCAGACTGGAATTTGCAGTAATGTGTGCTTAGGCGCCTTGGTTTTCAATATACCTTAGGAAATATAAGCAGCATAGTTTTCCTGCTGGTAAGTCAACTAAACAATTGCACGCTTGGCTACCTCAAAGCCTCTCATCGGATATCTGCTTAGTTTCCACATGCGTGTGGACACAAACCTACCTAAAAATTTCACATTTGCAGCAGGTATACATGAAGCAGGCCCAGATTTCAAATGATTGATCATGTTTACCTGGAGGGTTTGGGCGCCAGGTTTGAAAGTCTGAAGTCTTTTGAGCCACAGTTCTTATTTTTCCATTTAGCCTCAATAGCATGTTTTTTATTTTATTTTCAGAACAGGAAGGGCAAGTGAGAATTGTCAGATGCTTTAAAACGATCAGAGGAAAATATTCAGAAATGCTCTTCTTCAGAGGGAGAGCTTTTATGAACGGAAAAAAATCAGTGCATCCAAGTTTGCCTTGTGTGGTTCAGCCCAGAGACCTGAAGACTGAAGGGAAACGCAAAGGGAACAAGCGATAGTAGGAGCAAAGTGAATGACAAAAGTGAACATTTAAGACTACAAAGCTGCCTCATGGTTGTGCTTGAAGTGCATGTATGCTGCCTCTCTTGCTTGCCAGAATCAATAAACACTAATGATGGTTGGGAATATATTTCCATGGGCACATTCCATTTCGCTAACTGGTGGACAAATTCCCTCCCAACTGGTACAAGTTTCCACTCAATGTGCTTTTCTCATCTGAGCATTAGTGTAGTCCAACAAAGGGGAGGCCAGCTTCTATCTGTCCTGCATCTCCCATGAAAACCCAGTGCAGGTGTGCTGGACATTACATCACCTTTGTACATGCACATAACACGCACATTCTTACAGATGTGCACGCTAAGACTCTATATTCTTGATGGCTCAGGCGGATACCAACAGCGGTGACGTTATCTCGTAGCTCAACAGAACAAACGGAAAAGTAAGCGACACTGACAGATCTCCAATTTCTACATAACCAAAAATGTTTCTTACAGCTAAAATGTGTTCCTGGACCCTTCTCCAGCCTGCGTCACTGGACCATATTTATAAGTGATGATCTCCTAAATTTTTCTCCAACTTAACAGGCAAATTAAACTTTAGGGCCTCAGACGTGTTTATAACCGGAACGTCTTGACCCGCATTCTTGGCATTACAAGGGATTTTCTTAAGAGCAACACAAACTAAAAAGTGCAGTGTCCCTTAGTGGTCATAGAAAATTAGAATCAAATGTATGGCTTTTGAGCCAAACGTACAGGATTTGCGTGTTTGGAAGAAGTGTTAAAAGCAGCTTAAGTATCTTACCATCTGTGGTTTCCTCTCCAACCAGTGGCTGACCCTCTCCATGGCCGTAGACAGCAAACACAGAGACCTGATAAAGTGTCTCTGGGGTGAGACCATCCAACACTGTTGCTGTGGTGTCTCCAGGGATTGTCTTCTCCCCCTCTTCGTTAGAATACAGAGACTTCCACTTGATCCGGTACTGACGAACGTTACCTGGCGCCGCATTCCAAGTCGCAGAGAAACTGCTCTCTGTGACATCACTTGTCACCAAGTCTCTTGGTGAACCAAGCTCTGTGGATTAATACAAATGAACAAAGGTTTAAACAAATGTTTAAGTATAACATTAGTGTGTAAACAATAGAAATGGATACAGAAAATAAGTAGCACTGCAGGTTCACTGTTGTTTACATAAATCATTTTCCCAGATTGTCTTTGTTTAGATTTGCTCTAATGCATCATAATTGGACTAAGATGTGTTAGTAATGAGGTACCAACATGTTTTGTCCAGATTGTGTTGAGGCTAACGTATCTAAATGAAGGTTTAGGTAAGTGAGCAAGACAAAAAAGGATAACACAAAGAAACCAAAGATTTACATCTGCAACATTCACTTATATGCCTCTGTTTTAACTCTTCATAAACTTTTCTACCAACCGCATTTTCACCCTGCATAATAAGACTGTTGGAAAATTTTCTGCAAAACTAATCATAAATCACATATCCTCAGTGCCTGTCTCTCGGCAGCACTCTAATTTTCCATAGAAACCGACGAAACCTGATCCACAAAACTGCGTTTTCTACAATTGCAGATGTTGCGCTCCCCCTCTCCCTCTCCCTTCTCCCTCCTTCCTACACTTTTCCCAAGAGACCAGCTGAAAGGAGAAAGGGAAAGAAACACAGTGGAGGGAATTTGTGGTGGTGTTTCAGGACCGGCAGCCAGCACATGCTTGGCTGAAAGGCGTGCCTATGGAGTGATGGACTCTCATCACTCCGGTCTGGCTGCCATTAAGAGGATGCAACGCACCAGGACAAGCTGCCTCATACAGCCTCCCACACAACCTCCACGATCCTGATCCTTATTCAAGCCCCTAAGCCCCTGCATGCCAGCACCTAATGGCAAAATAATTACAGGGGGAAAAGTGCAGCCGGGTGGTCTATTTCAAACTTCCTTCTTTAAACCTCCGCAGATGTATGACAAATATACCAAAAGTCCAAATCATGATAATTCTAAAAATGTAAATCAACCAGAGACAAACCTCCAGTCACCGCATCTACGTACACTGATGAGTTCATCTAAGCATTCATCTCTTCAACTGATCTGAACAGGAATAACAGCAGCAGCCACCAAGCATAGAGAAACAACACCTTGAGAGCAGAGGCATGATGTGAAGAGTAATGACCACAAGCACTGACTAATGAAGAGTTCCAGATTTTGGAGGACCATTAAAGCAGTGTGGGCCGCTTATAAAAACCCAAATCATTCCATCAAAGAGGCTATCTTTGCCAAGAGCAGAGGATAACCTTGACTGACTTTTCCGGCTGTGTGTGAACCAAGGACAAAAGGATCACAAGATAATGACTTCTGCAGACAGTGGCTCACTTTTCACCAGTACTTGCAGACAGACTAAAGAGAAGGGGCGACTCAAAGAAGCAATGCACATATGCATGAAACACATGGTCTGCAGGCCGAGCGAAAAATTCTGTTTTTGTGTTACATAAACTCAAAATGGTTAATATCTTGCTACATGGCTGCAACAGTTATCGATATCAACAAAGAGATTTATAAAAGTTAACCTTCATCATTTGTTGCTCATAAAAACATTCAGGATTTACTCTTCAACTCAAAAACTGCTCCCCACCCTTCAAGCAGAAGTGTACTCTAAAATCGAAATCTTTGACAAAACCAGATCACAAGTTCACAGCCTCGCCCTTTTCTCCAGAAAGCCACACGTGACATAACCGAAGATCATCTGGGAGATTTGCTCCAGGCCATGTGCTGGCATAACCTTCACATATGCAGCCAAAGATGTCTAAGTTTGAAAATACAAAAGGCTACACCTATTAGAAAAAAATGCCTGAAGGGGATAGAAATGCTCATAAAAACACTACAAGCTTGTGCAGAGAAAATAACCGTAATGATTTTCTATGGCTGTAGGATTCCCACTCCATTAGGCCACTGTCAATCTTGATTCAAAGCAGAGGAATTGGGTGGTAGTTATTTGGATGCCAGTTTAAAAAAGCTGAAAAACTGAGTTAAAAGACTAAACTAATCTGTGATGTATAAAGTCGTGCTTTCTCTGTTAATTCCTCCAAAATGACTGCAGGAATTAAATTGTTACTACAAAGTGCCATTTCAGCACTGGCACCAGACTTTGAACTTCCTCACTTTATTGCTTTTGGTTCACTCAGGCATACATATGAGCCACAAAGATGAAGCTGTCAGTGTCTTTGCGCCAAGGTTGCCTGTCTCTGTCCTTTTACCTCAGAGGACCTTCAGAGAGGAAGGGAAAAACAACGTGGGAGTGCAACTGAAGAAGCCTAGGTAAGACTAAAGTCTTACAAAGGGATCTAGTTTACAGTAAATCAAGGTACCAAGGTATTACAATTTCAACTGGTGTCCTGCAGGCACATTAGGAAACATTTGCTGGGTCATGCAAGTAGTTAATTATTTGAGAATTTAGGACAATGGCTACTTCAGAGGTTGAATATTTGACCTCTCAGTTATGGGCGGAGTTTTTTTTATCAACCAGGCCACCCTGAAGCATTGTAGTTCACATCATCTTTAAAGTACCCTGTAAACTACTCATCTTTGAGTTCTCTCTGTCTCTCTCTCTCTGCCTCTGCCTGTCCTTGCCCCACCCGAGAGGAAGATGAACAGACAGTTCTCCCTGTGACTAGACAGACAGCTCAGACAGCTTTCAAGGGCCCGTAAGGTAACATCTTCCACATGTTGGGAGAAAACGTTCTATTTTGAAGAAAATAATTTCCCTGTATTAGTTTATAATTTCCACATGTGTGATGTCCATCTAAGCATTCGCTATGACACCTTTCTTTCCTCCTTCTGAGTCATTTCAGGATGTTGCATTTCTGTCCTATTCAGAAGCTTCTGTATGGGCTACCAATAACTGTTTGCTACAAGGAAGGCTTTGTGCAAGCCACTCTCTTCCAGTTCTCGCCTACGTGGACTTCACAGAGAGGGTCACTCAAAGTGAGTGACACTCAAAACAATGAGATCAGTGTTGAGGCATGCTGACGTCATGACAGCTTAATGGAGCTGGTTTAACAAAGTGCTTTGTCACGGAGCTCTTTCCTGTGGGGGTGAGTGTTTGATGACAGCACAGATTTGACATGTGGAAACAAATTCGAAGACCACAACCAAGCCTTTTGGTCAGTGTAGGAACAGAGAAAAAGGGAAAAAGATGCTTTTATCAGAATGATAAAATGCATTATCCCACATGTGAACTAATCAATTCAAATGTCTTGATCTGAACAGTTCTGCTTTTAAACCTAGTGTACAGGTCTGTGTACTCTGCAATATATACCCTTGTTGAATTGTTGAATACAAACACGTCAAGCACTGATGACTTCCCTATACCCCACAGCAATCTTTTATAATTGTATAGCTTTGATGTGTCTGAGGCCTCAAACTGCTCTTAAAGATTTTTCCATTTCAAGTTGAACAATGCATGGGCACTATTAAGGACAGCCCCTGTGTTGTTTTGATCTCAACACAGGTTTTGTTTTCAGACATGACAAACGATCCTTATAATGCCCAGGCAAGGCATTGAACTGCAGCAAAATATTTGGTTGCTTACTCACCACTTTAATGTCAGCTAGGCTTGTCTGGTTTGATATTTAGTTTACTGGTTTCCCAGCCGTAAATGGAACTGAATGAGAGCCAGATATTCTTCCCTGTGAGATACTTAGTCCTCCTTAGGGCAAAACAGATTGAAGACTTTCTTTCCTTTGGTTTGTCGCCACAACAATCCCTTTCACAACTCTGTGCAACATCAACAGAATATCTGCCTCAACACTCCTCTACACTGTTTATTATCTGTCATCTATCGACAAAAGAGAGATACCAAAACATGGATCTATCTCTATTCCTTCAGTTAGCTCATAGGTAAAGTGTAATCACTATCTTCATCAGAATTACACTTCACATGTTAATCTGTACAGCCATTCATTCCCCAATTGTCTAGTGAAAAAGCAACACAATACGTTCTATATCTCAGACAGGCCTAGATGTAGAGGCATTAGCAGGCAGGCATATGGCTGTCCAAGTCTCTTCCAAGCCATTTCATAAGTTTCCAAGGTTTACAAGCATCCCCCACCCATTTCCATCTCACTTGCCTTCAGGGTGGCAAAGCCACCCTTACATACACTCTGTGCCAAAAGAAATACAGCAAGTGCCACATTCCTTTCTTTTGCCCTGTAACCACAACCCATATACCTAACCAACCTTGAAAAGCTAAACTTCCTTTTCAACTTCATTTTCTATTTAGTCATCTGTGAGAAATACCGGCTACTACGTTCTTGAAGGGACTTCAAGGGAAACAACTGACATAATTTAGGTCGGTTTACATCAAGCTCCTTCAAACAAACTCAATAAACTACTAATAATAACTAAAACAATAAATGCGCTTGCCTAAATCTTTTTGTTTCGTGGGTCTTTTAAGCAATCATTCATTCATTTATCTCATCAGCAGTAGTCATGGCTTAGTCTATAGCAACTAAAATTGCTTCACATTTCTCTAAACATTGGCCTTGAAAATAATCCAACCATGCCAAAATGTTTTCAACTAAATATTAGGATTGTATCATATTCCCTTACCTTCCAATGTGGTTCCTGTGCCCAGAAGAGGATCCCCCAAACCAGAAGAGTAGCGAGCACTGACAAACAGCTCATATTCAGTTGCTGGTTGGAGTTTCTTCAGCACAACCTCAGTTGTATCTCCCTTGACAGATACCTCCTTCCTGTCACCTCCTTCAGCAGGTTTAAAGGAGATGCGGTACTGAAGGACATTTCCTGGAGCAGCTTTCCATGTCAGTTTCATTGTGGATATAGTCTCATCAAAGACGCGAAGGTCACGAGGAGAGCCACGGACTGAAAGAAAAACAAATGGATCAGTAATTTGTAACCAATGCACAGACAACCAAGGGCCACAAAATGTCCTTAAGCATGTTTTTCTAACTCACCTTCCTTGGTGGTGCCATCTATTTGCATGTCGTCCCCCATGGCTGTAGAGTACTGAGCAGACACAGACACTCGGTAGGTAGTGAGGGGGAAAAGCTCCTGAAGAACTATGGTAGTCTCTGGGCCAGTAGTTTGAGCCTCAAGATTTTCCCCTCCACCACTCAGCGGGATATAGGACAACCGATACCTTATCACAGAACCCGGAGCGGCTTCCCATGACACCCTGAAACTGTCAGTTGTCTCCTCCGTAACTCGAAGGTTTCGAACAGCTCCTTGCTCTGAAAAAGGAACATATTTAAGATCCTACTTAATCTCATTTTGATGCTAAACAATTTAATTTTTTTAAAACCATTGCAGTATTTGACTTGGTCCAAGTATATGCCTCTCACCTTCTAGAGTTGTCTCTTCACCAGTCAAAGGAAAACTGTCTCCTTTATCATACTGAGCAAAGACATTGACCTCGTAGGTGGTGAGGGGGAATAGTCGGGGCAGAATAGCTGTTGTAGTATCACCAGGCACTGCCAGGGTAACATAGTCTCCTGTGATGTCGTCAGCCTTGCGAAAACGCACCAGGTAAGACAAGGCATTAGCATCAGGAGGTGTCCATGTGGTACGGAAGCTTCTGGAAGTAACCTCAGAGAACACCAAGTCAGTGGGTGGACGCAGACCTGAAAATAAAAGATTCCTTACTGAAGTTTCTGTCATATTAGAGCAGTCCAAAACATGAAAAAGTTGCAAATGCATATTACCATATTTTATTCATTTTAAGATTAAAAGGAGGCTACTGTAGCTATGATATATCCATACTTCTCCCTGCCAATTGTCTTGTCCATAGACTATTACTTCCACTACTGGCGGGATAATAAGCAAAACATTGCTGTAACATGGTACAGCTAACAATCAAATTAAGATACTCTACAAACTCTTAATGATCGGTCCAACTGACAGTCATGGTAGAGTGTCTGTATGGGCCCACATGAAGATACTGACACACTTAGTAACAGATGAAAAACTCTTGCCTTGAAGTTATGTTGGGTCATAGTTATTGGATTACAAGTTCTATTATCCTACTTACTCTTCTTTTTAATGTTGAGAAGCTCCTGTTCAATCCTCAGACAGATAGACTGAGTCAGCTCTTTAGAAATCCTCTGGAAGGCATCAAAGTCCTCCACCTCAAAGACGTGATTTTCTGATGGGGGATTAGCAATGGCTTCCAGTTCTGACCTCACTGCATCCTTCACACCAACAGCAAATATCTCCACATCAGTATTCCGAAGGTTTGTTGCTGCATCTTTGAACGAGTCAGATGACTTTCCGTCTGTGATCAGAACCATGACACGAGGAACGTTCTGTCTTGCTCCACGAGAAGAGATAAAGATTTTCTCCCTGACATAGGTCATTGCTCGACCAGTGTTCGTCGAGCCACCACGGTAGGGAAAGGTGCGCACAGCTTTGACAACAGCATTAATGTCATGATGGGTGTTGAGGGCAAATTCAGTATGTGGGTCACGACTGTACTGGACCAAGCTAAGTTGGACCTTGTTGGGTCCAACGTCAAAGGAATTGACTAGAACCTCCAAGAAGGCGCGGACTTTGGCAAAGTTTTGTAATCCAATACTGTATGAGCCGTCAACCAGTAGGACCACATCAGCTTGCACATCCACTCCCAAAGAGCACTCTTTAAAAGGACAAGACATAATAGGTTAGTTAAAATCTTTGTATGGCTTCCATGATGGAAAAAGGTAAATATTGACATAAACAGGATGGTAGATTTATTCAATCAGGATAGTCTAGAAAGTTAGCAAGGATGACATGTCATGGACAACAAATCAGCTTACCTGTTGACACCTTGATAGGCTGGGTCTTTTCCATTGCCATGATGGGTTCACTCGGCATCAGACCTTTGAGGGCATACAGGCTGATCTCGTATTCAGTCTCAGGGGAAAGGTCACGAACATTGATGGATGTTTGGGTGGGCCCCATGTACAGCTCTTGCCGTTTCATACCAGATAACATGGGGATAAGGGTGACCTTGTAGCCTGTAATATCACCTGAGGAGGCGTCCCATGTCACCCTCATTGACTTTGATGCAATTTCAGTGACCTGCAAGTTAGAGGCTGGCTCAACCACTGGGGGGAAATTGCAGGAAAATGTATTAATACATGAGTGTCAAGATTAATATTACAACCAAATGGTTATTATGCTGCAATTTTACAACTGCAGTATTTGCTAGGACCATTTTGTGTCAACGCTGTAAAACTTAATAAAGTTTCCTAGTATTAAGATATTTTGACTTACTCTCCTCCCCGCTGACCAGAGCGCTAAGTTGCTCATCAACACCAGAGCACACCTCTGTGATGATTCTTTGCTGTACATCTTGGATCATGTCAAAGTTGGGAACATTGTACACATGTTTGCTGTGAGGTGTAGAGGCCATTTCCCTCAGCTCCTCCTCATCTGCTCCTTTGATACCTATAAGGGAAAATGTGAAATACAAAACCATTTAACAAACACTCAGCGGCTGCATAACAGATGTGGTAGACTGCTGACAGTTTTAAAAGAGTTTGTGGGTTAGAAAAATGACAGGACTTGACTTTTATCGGGTCAAATATGGATATTGCAATCAATGGAAAATCAAATGATTTCCTAGAAGAGGCAGACTTTCACATGGGAGCGCTTATTCAACAGAAAACGGAATAAAAAAACATACCTAGGACAAATATTTCCACTCCAATGTTCCTAAGCCTTTTAGAATACTCCTCCACTGGGTCCTGGGATTTTCCATCAGTGATGATCATGGCTATCTTAGGAAAACCTTTCCTAGATCCAGCTGTCTCCGTAAAGATGTTTTTCAGCAGGTAATCTATGGCATCACCTTAAAACCGATATGTGCATGGGTAATTAAAATGTGTCCACATTGTTACATTATAGTTATTACATCAAACAACTTACTGTAGAGCTGATTTTCACATTTCCACAGTGAAATGGACAATTAAAAACAATAACCATGCAATCCTTTATTGGCTGAATTTTAGAAGAGAACTAATCTAAAAGTAAAGAAATTTCCATTTCTGTACCTAATCTTGTTAAAATTGCCTTACCTGTCATAGTATTTCCCCCTTTGTATGGTAGAGAGCTGATGGCTTGAAGCAGGTCTCCTCTTCTGGTGTAACGGGTGAGGGGAAACTCTGTGCGGGTGTCAGTGCTGTACTGAACCACAGCAACCCGGGTCTTATCCTCTCCAATGTCAAAGGCCCCTGACATGGCGCCAATGAAGCTACGGATGTGCTTAAAGTTTTCTCTGCCCACACTCCATGAGCCATCAACCAAAAAAACCAAATCTGCAATTGCACTGACCGAACACTCTGGGGAAAGACAAGGATGAATAAGAGTCAGTCAGAATGCAGATTTAGTCAAGTTATTCTGACCTTCAATATTTGGTATGCTTTAGTTTACAAGACATTAAAGATAGGTGTAAACATTAAAAATCATGAAGAGCATGTCTCAAATAACTGTCCAAGCCAGATAAAGGCAGCATGGCAGTATGGCAGCAGCAGCTTGGTATGAGATCAAAACGTTTACAGTGGCCCATTTCTCTTCCTGTCGGTCTAAATAAAATCTTCTCCTTGACAGTTAGTTGGATGTCTCAGAGATGTGCGTTCTGACATCAAAGGAAATATCAGCCAATGCCAAATAGTGGTCTGGTATAGTCATTACAGTGGGCAAAAATGTGGCTCCACAGACTAAACATTTAGCAGAGATTCCACCAGCATTGTTCACGTGTTTACTCTGAAATCAAATGGTGCTTTAAATCACTGATGAAATGCTCAAGAACACTTAAGATGACTCAACTGAAAATACTGGCAGGGCTTATGTGGATAGACTTTCGGTTATATCTTCTTGGCTTTAAATAAAAATAAGGAGTATCTGGAAGTTTGTTTAAAGTTTTCTGAAGAGTTAAACAGGTGGGGGGAAAAGTTATCCTGACGTAAATCCTCACAGATTGTTGTCATAACGTGAGCAGATGACAGTTTGACATTAGATTAAGACATTACTGCTCTTTGCAACATCTTTAACAGTTTGAGGAAAAGGCACTTGCTTCTAGGTAGCACAATGACACATCATTCCTTGACAACCCCCAACCCTTTCCTTCCAACCCTCCATTACACACAGCAGAAACCATGTCCCGGAGCGTCAAGCCTTCCTTTTCCTTTTTTTTCTTAATGAACCAACTGGTTACAGTCAAAGGAACCAATACTGTATGTGCCCTCCCAGTCACTGTCAGATCCTGATAATAACCAGTTACAACCTCAACAGAAGGTCAAATGTATGCCTTACCATTACCAACATTTTCCATTGGGAAGAATAGAGTCATGAAGGGAAAAAATCTATTAAAATAACTGGAAAATAGTGTGGAGGACAGGCCCTGTTCATATTTTGGTTGACTAGAGGAAACATACTTACTGAGTAGATCTGACTGTGGCCTTCTGACTCGACCGCTAGTGTTACTGGACTGAACTGAAACACAGAAAACACTTGGTGAGTTAGCGCAGCACATTGCCTCACTGTATGCTTTTTCACAGCGGAAAAAAAGGCAAGAAAATCAACACATCATAAAAGATGGCAGACAGGATCAAAACCACATGCACACAACACATATCTTCATGCTGCATTAGCTTTTAACGCTGAAAAATTCAACAGTCAGTAAACACAGATGTGATTTCTTACTACTAAAGCTCCTGGCTAAATGAACATGTCACATGGAATAAGTAATACTATTAATGTTTGACAAATACAGTCTATAGCACCCATTTCTCATGTAATTTATATTCAATGTCACACAAAGGAAAAAAGCTGGGGGTTTTTCTGGATACAAAAGTAACTTCTTACGCTAACAAAAAATACAAATTAAAGTTAACTGTTAATGTCCAGAACTTTCAGAAACCTTTTCTTGATTTTAAGTGAATCCAGTGTAAAATATGTACTCACTGGTCAGTTGACCAAAGATGGGAATGCTCTCCTCTGTCCCAACAAACGAGTTAATGGACACAGAGTAGTCCAAGTCAGGGGTCAGGTTAGTAATTGAGGTTGTAGTTGTGTATGCATCAAGGGTAAAATCTCTGGCCGGTTCATCTAGGAAGGAATTTTAAAGTTAGTCAACAGTTGGGAAGCATTGTGAGCACAAAATGTATATTTCACCCAAAAAGCTGCAAGTACTGATTCCATACCGACATACCTGCATCTGATACAACTTGTATTCTGAAGCCCTCTATCCTTGATGAGGGTCTTGTCCATGACATGTCCACTGTATTCTCATTTAGAATTTTAAATTTCAAGTCTGAGGGTGGTTCCACTGCAAAAAAAGTGAAAAACTGTTACACCACAACAGATATGGCACATTGTATATTTAATTTTTTTATATTTTTGATCAAAGCAAAGTAAACCCAATCAAGCATTTACATTGAATCCAACGACAAACACTTCATGACTGAAGTGGACTTGTTTGTTGTTGGAGGACAGACACATACAGTAGCACTGACTTTAAATTGTGAGGGTTACAATCAAAGAACATGTGACAACACTGAAAAAGTGTGAGACGCCATTTTTGGAGTAAAATGGCATTTGTTTGAGTTGCTCAACCTTCATGGCCAGCAACTCAAGCACTGGCATACACAACATGTGCACGACTCCACGCAAACTCTAACAAAGTGCAAACATTAAGTGAACCATCCAACACATGCTGAGTGCAGTCTTTGTAACGCATGCTCTGAGTCTATTCTACACTTCTTTTACAATGAAGAGGATCTCAGCATTACAAAAAAACTACTCTGACTTCATTCACAAATAACTGATTATACAATGGAATCGAGGTTGCCATGAGGTTGTTGAAGAAACTCTTGACATAATTGAACACCATATGTTATATATACATTGTATATAAACATATTTCAAACATAAAAAAGTGGTTTGATTTTTATTATTTTAAAACTCTTTTTCACAGGTGAGTGGCACACATCCATTGCAAACCTTTTAAAAAGAATACACAATTCGTCCCCAGAGACCCTTGTGTTCTTTTTCATTGGAAGCACAATGCAAAAGGAAATGAGGGAACAAAAATGACTGTTGACACTCAAAAGACTGTCGGAATAACCTATAATGAGTAAAGTGTGTGCATTAGAATAAACACAGGAAAACATATACAGTGTGACAAGACCACACGCCTTTACATCGAGCTGACTTGCTCACAGCATCATGCATCATGTACATGAGAAAGTTGTTTGACTGAACAACTTTGACTGATTGGACGGTAGTTTCCATGTACAGTTGGGACCACACAGACAGAGATGACAAACATATTTTATAATGATATTCTTTCTTACAGCTTCTATGTTAGCAGTCCAGGTGCAAAAGCCAACGTTCATGAAAGAGAGTGTGATAACTTTTAGCATGTTGTCTTTACATGCATAAAATGAAATGACCTCATTGTAAACAAAGTTAAGCATTGTCATTTAAAGTTTCATACTGTTAGTTTTGGATGGAAAACACTTCTTTATTCAGTGATAAAAAAAAAAAATTTTGATATGTTTCATGCAACTCAGCTAAGAAAGTTAAGTTATCATATTAAAGGCTAGTGTTTCATAACAGACATTCTTCATAGATCAACAGATAAAAACTAGAGAGAGGACAAGACATCTTCATTTTTCTTTTCTTAGAAAATCCAGGCAGAAGTAGGTTAGAGTGATATAGTGTGCACAGATGTATAGTGTTAAATCAAGTAATATCAATTATTTTAATCAATGGTAGTGTAAAATGTTAAGGATGTTGTAGGGGCAATTAATTAAGCGTGCATGACACCAAACGTGGATTATTTGTGATGTGAGTTCATGCTAGCTGTTGCGTAAGAATGAGAGGTAAGAATATCATTGTAAAATATACTTTATGGAGGAAGCCATAGCTTGGGACACACTGAATGCACAGGCAGATGACAAACAGGAGCCCACCAAATGATTAAAAACTAGGACGATCACCAACCTGGCATATCAATTGCACGGAGCCCGGATGGACTGCGTTCCCCGTGTTTTCTCCACGAGTACTCATCTCCAACATGAAAATGGTATGCAAGTGTGTGGGTGTTTGTGGGCAGGGGTAGGAGTAAGGGGGTGAGTTGGTTGAGAGGATGTTTGAGGGTTTCTTTTGGGGGTGGGGGGGGGGGGGGTACTCCCATGTTTGTCCAAGATGGTTTTAACTTCTCAGTTTGTTAAAACGTCTTTGACCGTATGTCCTTCAGGTTTTAAAATATACTTGAGGAACAAAAAAGCAGTTTTGTGAAAATAATCTCTGGTGTATCGTTTGGACCTGGAATTGTTCTTGTAATGTGGGTGTCTGTCTCATCAGTTCCTAATGAAGGACATCTCTGGCTCTCTTGGGCCAGAGTCTGGCTACTGTTCTGTTAGTAACCTCAGTCGAAAGCCAGCACACCAGCCAGCCAGCTATCATGGCCAGAGCTACTGCCAGGAGGAGAGACCAAGAAGGAAAGAACACCGACTCTCCCAAAGAGGCAGGACAGATGCCAAAGTAATTCCACAACATGTGCTGACATTAAACACCACTGCATATTAACTTTCCATATGTACTGCAAATTCAGCGTTTTTGCAAAAGCCCGCAAAGGAGTCCGAGAAAGGCTCTTTGTCTTTTCGCCTGTCTGAGGATTAATTTGCTATTCTCGTATTTCATCTTTCCATTCCGTTAGTGGAGATATGTGAGGGTAGACGTTAGACTCCTCTCATCCCGCCAGAGAGCTTCCAAAAAGAAAAAGGCAGAAAGGTTTCCATACCATATTTCCATATTTGCCATTTTATTGGACTGAAATGTTTGCATAAGAAATTACTTTGAGTCATTTCATGTCAACTCTACTGACAGATTGCTAACAGTCTGTGACTTGCCGTACAGTTAGCTCTTGTGGCATGTATGGAGGTAGGTATTTAACAGCTCCTAAAACAGTAATATACGAGCACAGGTGGAAGTTGGAATGTTTCAAAGTTGTCAACTTAGTATACATTTTTAGGCACTTGAAATATCCTTGGATATTTCCATTTTAATTCCACTACATAACTGGGATAAGAAAACATTTACCATACAGATTATTTCTCATTTGAAATGAAAATTACACTAATGTTACGGTTTTTTTTTTGTAATTAAGAGCATCTTTAAAATTGTTTTTATGTATTTTAATACCTGGACTCAAATTTTCAATGTTGTTGAACGCTGTTGTCATATAGTAATGTAATGCCTTAAAACAATGCATACCACTGCAACTTCTAAAACCGCTGCAGAGAGATGAACACAGGTTACCAATTTCCTACTACAACCTCAGCATACTCATCATAACTTAAAAACATGTGACGTAGCATTTCAATGGCTAATTACCGAGGACTTGGCAGTCTTCCAGATTTTGCTGTGGAAAAAGTGCAGAGACTTGCTATCATAAAACTGAAAGAGTAACAGCCCTGCTTAAGCATTTATGGGGAAACATTAAGCCAAGAACTGACTTTTGTTCTATCCTGTGCCCCGCTGTTTGATGCACTTAATTAGAAATATGAAATTAAATATGTTTTAATGTGCTTGCTTTCTTACAGTTGCCAAAATCTAGATGAGAAAATTGCTTCTTCAGTATCTGTTTAAACCCATCTAAATTACAGCCTAATATAAGTACATTTGATCTGCATTTGGATTTAACATCAAAGCCTATAATGAGTACTGACAGATAAATCTGACAAAATAAGCTTAGAGGGATAAAAGAATGTCCATCACAGAGGAATCATTGTCGTTCAGAAGTCACATAATCAAATAGCATACACATGAAATAAGATAACTTTATTCAGACTATCAAAACAAAGGGTTCATTTTCCCTGTAATGGTTCTCTGACATTAGACCTTATTCCTGTAACATAAACAACCAGTGGAGATTAAAAAAAAAGGTAAAGAAGAGCAGCAGGAGATAAAGAGACAGAGTGGTAAAGTATGTAAGTGTTCTGGAGGCCAGATGGTTTCATTTACCTTGAGCATCTATGGAGGATATCAGGGCTGCAAGCAAGGCAGCCGTGGCCAGTGACAGCCCTATCTTCATGTTTGGTCCTTAAAGGTCAGCAGCGCATTAACCAGTCTGAGGACAAAAAGAGAGAAAATGTGTTGAAGTGTGCAGATCTGGGACACAGCTCACTCTGTTAGTGTGGTGTAACCAGTCACTACATGCTGGTGATACATCTATGTCTAATTCACTGCTGCATCAACAAAGACAGATTTAGATTTTTGCTGAAGAGTGGCAAGTTTGCCTTTAACCAAAACCACATAATGAATAACATGTGTCATCCAAGTACCTTCCTGATTTCTTCTTTTCATGTACAAACTCAATACTTATAGTATAAGTATAAATATTATTGTATATATATTAATAATAAATATTATTGAATTATTGCTTTTCTTTATGACAAAAACGGCAAGACTCATCTAGACTTTGTTACACAATAAGTGCCACACCTTGCTGCCTCCAGCTGACACCCATACCCTGAGGTACTACTTAGTGCTTATATAGTCTAAGTATTAAGTAATGAGCTTTGGGCTTTTTTTTTTTTTCACATAATGCTCATGATACATTTTTAATAAACATCTCCTTAATATTTTAATCAATGATATGTATACTTTTTTTTGTTTTTTAATGTAAAGAATATTGTGCTTTTTTTTTTCAATCCCTTGTCTCGCATCATTTGAAACTCAAATATGTAAATTGCCTTCCTTATTCCGATTAACTTCTCCTTCTCTTTAAACGTATCTATTTCTTTTTGATTGTTGCCTTATATTACAAGCATCAATAAGAGACATTTTCCTCCTACACCAGATGTGTACTAAAAAGATAGTTTTAATGTAATTATCAACTTTTAGTATTTTATGCACGCAATGTTTTTTGGGTTTTTTTTAACTCAAGCGTAAGAAGAGGATCCCCACACATTAGGGCAAAGCTGGATTTCAGCCTCTGAAATCTTTACCACGAGCTGTGCGCCCCGCCTGGTGCACGAGCACTCAAACTACAGCTACAGGAGCCGAAATTCCGACACAATTAGGCTTCATCTAATTAAAATGACTTAATGCACAAAATAGAGAACAATCATTTTTATGTATTTTTCACTGAAAAGTACATCGTTAAATCACATCATTCAGCTTTTGATCCAGATTTCAAACAGATCGTTTGTTCCAATGCATCTTTAATATAAAAACGTTATTTAAAGGTATTCAACTTGTGTTTACAGTATTCATCTTCAAAATGAATCTAAAGCAGAGTGCTCAAAAAATTGGAAAACACACTAAAAGGTAAAACTGCTAAATATATCGAAGTACTTTCTCTTGTATTCTAAAATGTATAATATACTCGTCAATAAAATTCAGTGTACTCACCAATTTAACCCCCCAGAAAAAATCAACAGAACAAATGTGCGATCAACCTGCTGGAAGCCTCCCCCTCCGAAAAGTGAGAGAAAAGTTTCAGGAGCTGTGAAAGGACCCCTCTCTCCTCTCTCTAGCTACTGGAAGCTCCGCCAGCAGATGTCCAAGAAGGAAAAGCCTCTTTCCAAGTGGGAAGAATCTTTCCACCATCGACTACTTAACAGGGGGGCAGTCCCCAGCTCTCAGTTTACCGTCAGATGAGCTTCTTACGAAACTTCTGCCCGTCACTTGATGCATGTCCCCGCGAAGACCGATCCACTGTTTGGAAATTACATATTTGCCTGCATTCCTTTGGTCTGGTGATTTATTGACTTTCCAGTGGCAATGTGTCTTCACTGCAGGGTACCAGTTGGCCAGACAACACTGAGAGGGGAAGTGGCATACATGGGCCATCAGGCAACCTTAACCAGTATGGACTTACCTGTCAACTTGGTATTTTACACTTAAAAAACTGAATCCCTTGGCTTCGGCTCTCGTGGTTATTGCTCATGAAAAATGTAATATGTTTGCACAAACAAACTCGTATACCTATGCATGTTATCTTGTTCGTTTGTAACTTTATTTAAAATGTTGGGATCAAAGTTAAATAATCCTCTATTGAATCACTCGAAGCATTCAAGTTTAAAAGCCCACCTTTGCGCTGCTACAATGAGACCGTTTCTGATTAATTAGGTTTTGGTGCCCTCTGCTGGTCAAAATAAAGACTTACAGCACGTTTACGCTCCTGACGAAAATCCAAACTTCCCCAATTAAAGTACACAGTTTTAAAAAAAACACACAGTTCATGGAGGTTTTTATTTTAAATGTTTTATTCTGTTTCACCTTGTAGTCTGTACAATCAATAAATATTTATTACTTGCATGCATTTAAGAACACTGATCCCATTCAGAGGACAAATAGTTTCCCAGTTTCAAAATATGCACAAGAGTACGAGCATGATTGTTCATTTTGCATGGAAAGTCCACTTAGACGTTGCGGTTTCACCGTGGCTTCTTGGGCATTGCAGCACTGAACAGCTCATACACAACATATCCACTCCCTGTGAAGAGATCAAACAAGTATCACAGATGTGAGCGGGAAACAACACGCGCTTGTTGTCAAGTCATTATGGTCAAGTCACTGGTAGAATTTTTTCTTTTTTGTTTTGTTTTTTCAAATCAGACTCAGACATTTGACTCATCTGACTCACACACATTTCAGACAAATGCTGACATACCAAAGACAGTGAGAAACATCGTGGCTGAGTAGAGCAGAACATCCATTGTCCCGCCCTTAAGATGGACAGGTACACCGTTGTCCTCCTGTTTAGAGAGTGAAAAGTCAATAAGTATCATTTTGTAGATAGTTGTATTTATTTAGAATATAAACTCCTCGAAAAAAGTTTGGAAACGTTATTTCGGTCACTTATTTCGCCCCTTTAATAATACTAATTGGTGTTGTATGTTATATCGTTGGAAAGCCTGATTAGTCACCTTTACAACAAGGTATAACTTGTAAGGATCGTGCATTCGTGAATTGAGCAACACAGCTAAACGTGTGGCTAGTGCCCTAAATAAATGTGCCAAAATCCCCTGCAATGGGGCGCTGGTGGCGCAGTGGTTAGTGCGCGCACCCCATGTATGGAGGCTGTTGTCCTCCAAGCCCAGGTTCAAATCCAGCCTGTGGCTCCTTTCCCACATGTCATTCCCCACTCTCTCTCTCCCTCATTTCCAACTCTATCCACTGTCCTATCTCTCCATTAAAGAAACAAAAAGCCCAAAAATAAATCTTAAAAAAAAAAAAAACAATCCCCTGCAATGTTCTTCTGTTGGTATTCACTCCTGTTTTGAGCTTCAAGTGCTGCCAGGTGTGTGCCAGTTACGGATGTATGACTGACACCTAATTGACAGCACTTGTGGGATCATCTTGGGCATGCTGTTCATGCCAGAGTGGCCAACACAACCACGCTGGGTGACCTTCAACAACTCCTGGTTGAGGAGTGGGATGCCATCCCACAGCAAATGTGACCAGGCTGGTGACCAGCATGAGGAGGAGGGGCCAAGCTGTTGTGGCCTCGTATGGATCATCCACACGCTACTGAGGTCCCTGACAGTGTAAAATGTATAAAATGTAAAAAACGTATTACTGTGGGAGAGTGCAATCATCAATTCCACCAAGCAACTCAAAACAGGAGTGAATACCAACAGAAGAACATTGCAGGGGATTTTGGCACATTTATTTAGGGCACTACTCACACGTTTAGCTGTGTTGCTCAATTCACGAATGCACAATCCTTACAAGTTATACCTTGTTGTAAAGGTGACTAATCAGGCTTTCAAACGATATAAAATACAACACCAATTAGTATTATTAAAGTGGCAAATTAATTAATTGACCAAAATAATGTTTCCAAATTTTTTTTGAGGAGTTTATGTGAAGCATCCCTTTCAGGAGCATACTTCTGGTTCTAGCTTTCAGAGTATTCAACTTTTGGTCATGCTCATCTCTATTTAACCACAGTCATGAAGTGGTGGCACACAGTACACTATGCAGTGAAGCAGTGCTTGATCTATCAGCTGCAGTTATACAGGAGTTTCTTGCACTATGCAAGGATCAGCAAAGCCTGCCACACTGGAACTTTGTGTTTTGCAATTGGTTTTAATAGTAGCGTGCAAGCATGATTAGTATAACTCCGGTCTCAGCTAAAGTTGAAGGTTATTTTGTAGGGGCAAACCCCACTGATACTTATCTGTCAGGCTACAAAGAGGTACAATTAGATTCTGTCTCCAGAATCTGGGGATAGAGTACAAACTTTAACATTATCATTAACCTTTGAAAAATGTCTCAAACTAAACTAAAACAAAGAAAGTAAGCCAAAACTTAAACAGGCACATCATTATTTTAAGTACAAGAAAGGTGCCTACAAATTATACTTAGGTTATGATTTTACTTCAAAGTGCCTAAAACATTCTCATATCAACAATTCTTCAATGATTTAGTGTTTACTGTTTCGGTGAACGAATACACATATCAACTTAAAGCTTTGATATAACCATTTTTTCTGTTAAGAGAGGAAGACCATGAAATGTTCAAAGATAACGTCTTCACCAGGCCAGTCTTCTCTTGAGGCTTTCAGGAGAGAAACAGCCTCTGAAACCCTTCCACCAGATGGGACACTGATGATGATCATACCTGTCCTTCAATAGATTAACCCTACCTGAAACACTTTTTGTTTGTCTTTCACAGTGTTGTCTAGCTGTCTTCGAGCGCTGCTGGAGATGGTCCTCCTGGTAAGCTGCCTCAGTCCCTGATCACACAAACACTCAAATTAGGGTCACTTGGTTTGAACAGTTATATTGTAAGTATGACAAACAATGAATACAAAGGAAAATGATTTCTCCGCACTGAAACAGTAAGACACAGTGAAATGACAAAAAAAAAATACACATGGCTTCAGGCTTTGACATGGGGTTAAAAAATACATCTCCATAGCATTGGGCCTCTTCCAGAAAGTGAGCTAAAAATAAATCCTCGTTTCGAAACGTTTGATGGTCAAAACGGTGACATCTTCTGGCTGGGCCTCTATATTGCATGTACAGGGTCGGAAAAGAGAGCAAGTCAACACAGAGGTCACCTCACTGCTTACACCTTGAAGTATTATATAAATAGAGCTGATTCTTAATATGAGGTCATAATTGATTCATGGTATTTCAACGTTTGATAATTGGCTTTACAGTATCTCTAATACTGAACAATGGATTGATTGCACCTGCTTGACGACCTACTTAAATTAAACTTACCCCTTTATTTATTCATTTAAAAACTAACCTTACCTTACACTTCAAACATTATCTTGATGTTTCTCAAAACCATGACGTCATCCTGTTCCCTGAATACGTACATTACGGCGTCCCGTGAGGTCAAATGCATTTTGTACAAATAGATAACTTGTGGAGCATTCTGCTTCATGTTTATGAAACACTTTGTAAATACATCTGACTTAACATGAAGTCATATCAATTGGCAACTGTAAAGGTTATTAACACTGAGTGAGATAATTAAATAAATGAATGTAATAACTAGGCTACATATTGTTGCTCTGTAATGCTACATGGTGTTAAAGTGTATCAAGGAACCGTTACCATTCAATGACGCGACAATAACATTTGAATAACAAACCCGGAACGTGTTACGACAAATAACCTGAATTAAACGTCTCTTACCAAAAGTTGTCTGTACATTTTAGCAAACTTCTGTTTTGCTAAGTGAAGGGGTTGAGGGGCCGATCATAGACCGTAAGAGACCGATACAGTACAGCACAAGGACACTGCGAGAACGACTTCCCACAATCCTTCGCTGGGCCGCTCACATCCGGGTCGCGTGACATTGTTCAAGATGTCTGCAGCCTGGCGCGCTCTCGTCTGGGAGCTCTCGTCTAGGTGCACTCGGCTGTGTGCACTCGACTATGTGCGCTCGTCTGTGCGCTCTCGTCTGGGAGCTCTCGTGTGTGTGCTCTCGTCTGGGAGCTCTCGTCTGTGTAGCTCCTAATTTTCAACATAAAGTTCCGGAAATAAAAATATCGGTAGTGTACATGTGATATATTACAAATACATTCAAGACTAAATAAAAAAAAAAAAAAAGGCAATTTCGCCATTCTATATGTATATGTGCATTTTTAGCACACGAGACGAGAGAGTGCCAGGATGCAGCCATACCCGACTCACATTATAAGTGATATTTATTTTAAAACAATAATAATAATTATCCTTGTTAATTTGTGATAATAATAACATAGAAGATAAAAAAAAAAAAACTACGACAAATACGTGGTAGAGCTTTGTTGGCAGTTTCAGCTGGAGAAATGTAGAAAAGAAAATAACACAAATACATTCACCAAGTAGTTTAATTGGACCCTACAAACTTTATAAAAAACCCAGAAATTTCCAATTAAAACAGTTAACTTATTTTAAATTAAAAGATTAAATTATTATCACAACAGAAGTGAAACAATGTGGGAAACTAACAAATGTGACACTTTTAAAGTGCATATCATTTGGTCAACATTGAAGAATGTAATTAACTTAACATACAGGTCAAACTGTAATTACATCATTAATATTTGTGCTCAAATCAGCCTGAGACATGGCCCAGAGTCTTAGAATTAAGAATACTGGATATAATGGTACAGGATTATGTTACTTATGATTATTTAGCATTAGACGATTATTTTTAAAAGATGCCTTATGACTGGAGCAGTCAATGTATACAACCAGCCACACTAGAGGGTACATATTATGAATTTTGGTACTACTATTCATGAGAATCCTATAACCTTCTAAGGATAAAATGCTTCATTTCATACATCAATGCTTACTATCATTAACAGCACGCGTGCAGTGATTATCCCATCCTATATTCGGGGTAATCTCAAATATCAGAGAGGTATGTCATTGAAATATAATGGTACATTCTTCAGCAGGATATATCACATAAAAGGGACAAAAGCTTGCATTAAAAATACATACATCCTTCAATAATTAAGCCATTTGCAAAGCACTGCTAAAACAAAACACAGGTACTTTTAAAATGTTTAGATAAATAGAAAATAAAAATGTTCTTGTGAAGTCCGGATGTGACATTCTTAACAGCTGACTTGAAGCTGTATGCACAGAGACACGGCCTGCAACATCTTTCTTTTGTTGCCCTACACATAAACACAGCTTTGGATGAGAAGCTGCTGTCCTTACACGAACACACAACAAACAATGACAGAGACCAGTGTATTCACGCTGAAATCAACAAGCAATCCACAACGGACCTTTTAGGGTCACCCATGCATGCAGAGGCAGGAAGATGCGCTACAGGAGCAGATCAGTTTGGAATATCTGCACTATTGTTGCGAGTGTCATATTTATGGTGGATGATAAGCAGAACTACACCCAGGAAGAAGCAAATGGAGCCCACAGTGATGTAGGCAATGCCAAGGAAGGGGTTTTTCCCTCCCATCCAGGAGATGGTACTCAGGATCATCCGCTTGCGACCATCAAAACTGAGAACAGGGTAATCTGATTATTTAGAGTTAAAGAGAAAAAAACAATTGGGAGAAAACTTGATGACAGGGTTACAGTTTACACATCACTTTATAAAAAAAACATTACAAAAAGTGAAAGAACTGTGGTTAGTTAGGGTGTAATGGTACACAGAAGTCACTGTTCAGTTCGTGACTCAGTTTTAGTTCTGTACGACGTCACGACAGAAAGAAAGCAACAATATGTCTCGATTGCATAAACCCAGGTTTCTCTCATTTCCTTTGAATGGACAGCAGTGCAAGTTACAGTTTCATCCAACTAGTACTGTTTTTAGGACTACCTGCGATAGTCAGCTTGTAGTGTATTAATGACTTTATAAGAAAGAGAAGAAAACATGATGCAAAATAAAAATCACCACAGAAACAAATCTCCTGATGTGAAAATATAAATAAAAAACTATGAAACTATAATAAAAAACTATGTAAACTATGAGACAAAATAAGCGATGTGCCTTTATGTATCATATTCATGATTTGTTTGCGAGTCTTGGAGGTAGTTAGGCACCTGATAAAGGTGCAAAATGATCGCTTGTGTACGGTCACTGTGGCAAAGAATGTCCATCCATCTGTTGTTGGTGCAGAAGTGGATGAAGCAGATAACTCTGGCTCAATCACCGCTTGTGTTCGCCCGTAAAAGGCAGGGACTACAGGCGGATTAGCTTATTCAAACGAGAAGGGTTATCGCGAGGAGGATTGAACAATTAATACTTGAAGCCGGGGTCCTCTATTATTGCATATGCACGCATAGCCCTAAAAAAGTATTAGCTTTGGTTCAATGCATTGACTCATAGTTCAACCATTGCAAACAAACACTCAGCTTTTCTATTTGAGTGACTTCCGTATCCTTCTTCATATTTTTCAAACTTCTTTGGTTTCATTCAGAGATATTTAGACATATTTGCTTTATGTAAAACACTGATACCGCTTTAATCTGGAACATGTGCTGAGATCAAAAGGCCAGTGTTTGGCCTTAGGATACTAAAAAAAAAGAGAGTCACATGTCTTACTGCCTCATTAGAAAGTAAATGATAACACGCTGATAAACCTATGCACACTAAATATGTAACTGTTGTTGCGTAGGTGTGTTTCTTCGTTCACTTTAGTTTACACCTAGACTCTCATTGTATGCAGATTTATGTGGGGACAACAAAACTATGTGTAAGACGTTGGAAGAATGGTTTTCTACATAATGTTCTTACCCTCTGAAGCTTTATACAAATATAATACTATCAGCCAAACAAACAGCTAAAGCCTGCTTTAAATTTGAATGTGCAACATAGTTTTTCACTCTCTTCAAAGGATACTGTAATTGATGTCCAAGATGTACTGGCCACTGGGTAGAGTCGGGGTTGTGCTTGACTTCTTCTGGATGATGCGATAGAGCTTCCGAAAGGTGGGCAGAGCAGCTGTGCGCATCCACACTATGAAGTCCTCATTGATAAAGCCATTGTTCTCAAGATCTGTAGAGTCCAACTCATACACTGGCTTCCTCCAGTTCACTGGCTTAGATGTGCCTGAGTAAGATCAAGACAGAATCATGCTGGTTACTGAAAACATCACTGTTTTGAGATTTTTTTAAAAATACTATATTCTTTGCAAAGTTTGCTGAAATCACCTCGGAAAGCTACAGTGAGGTTGTTGTTTCCACCGGGATTCCTGAACTTCACATGCTTGTCTGTCCACCACGCAATGCCCTTCTTTACCAGAGGAATTTCATTTCTGGTGCCATTCAAATCGATATAATACAGCTCCAGAGTGTCTGAAACAAAGAGACACTACATTTAGTTTAGTCACATGAATAAGCTTAACTGCTGTCATGTGCAGAACTTTTAGTAACAGTTTAAAAAGTCAAAGAGACATCAGTTGAACTTGTTTGTGATGATAATTACATTGTTATTGTTACATTGGAGGAGGACAAATGGAAGTTGTCCACCATGTCTGACTTACCGTTGAAAAGGCTGTTAGCTATGGCTCCACAAGGGGCAATCGGTAATCCCTCACTTGTACGGTATGGTTCACATTCCTTGCTCGGGTACTGTAAAGAGCAGCTAGTGTTAAAACCATGCAAAGGTACTCAGCAAAATCTCAGCATTTGAAAAATAAAAAATATCCAAGATCATACCGCCAATGCAGAGTGGTCACCATTCAATTGGCTGTCATCCCTTGACTTCACATAGCGTCTGTGGTTTTGATAGAAGTTGGATAAGCCATAGTACATGAAGACATTGCTCTGCAAAGGAGGCCAGATTGGGTTATAGACAGAATGCATCTGTACATGCATCGGTAACGTTGGATTACCCAGTATCAAGTTTCCTTATGTTCTTCAATCAGATATCTCTTTGCCAGAGTTTGTGAACCTACTGCAATTATGCCATATATCGTATAACCCTTATCTAACAGCACTTAGTGATACTGCTTTGTCTGATCTGCAAAGTGTTTCAATGACGGTCTGAGAGCTTTATAAGTAATCAATAAAAGCCTTCTAAAAGTTGAAGGGATGCATATTTTTAGACTGAAATGATCAATGGAAGCTCTAAACCAACCTTGAGCATGCTTTCTTTAAACTTTGATTGGATCGTAATAGAAATTTAGTGTCATGAGTTCATTTTCTTCTTTATTGCACATCAATAAACACCATTAAGCTTGAAGCTGAAGCATATATTATTCATTTGGTCTGAACACTGTGAGCTTGTGCTGACCTCAAACGGCTGCGTCAACGTGAAATTCACAGAACAGTGACAGGGTGTCGTGCTATTCCAGCTGAAGTTCTTGGCGCAGACGTAGCATGGATTGGAAATGTCAACACCAGTGTAATCAATCTGGAAAGAAGAAGACCAACAATTAGAAAAAAAAAAAAAAAATAGCAGAAGTGAACATTTTGAGTAAACTTCCTTAAAATAAATTGAGGACGATGACGGTTGTGACGATGGTTTTTGTTTGATAAACGACGACTTATAAAGATGGTTTCTATACTAATCAGAGCTCTCAAGAACTGCCCTCAATGTTGTGCTTTGCCTCTGGTCACTTCCTGTCAGCACCTGTGTGTCCAATCAGACTCAAAGCTGATCGTTTGCTCTTACTGACATTGTTCCTTTTTTTCTAGACCCTTGCTTGTGTTGTACTCACTCTCTGATGTACGTCGCTTTGGATAAAAACGTCTGCTCAGTGAATTGTAGAAATGTTTTAACCTGTAGAATATCCACAGACAATGGAGGAAGTTTATTCCAACAACTGTCAAGCAATCAACTCCACCTTTAACAACAATTACAATGGCATTTGTAATGAGTTCAAGTTATTTCGTTTGGCCATTGATGACAGGGACTTGACATTGTCTAACCTCGTTTCTGTGCATCTGAAGTTTTCCAAGAGGTATTTCTGACACACACGAAAGGAAATAATAGAGACTTCATACTCTGCGACACATTCCACTAAAAACAATTAATTGCAGCAACAGAATGACTACAATGTTTATCACGACAATAGTTTGAGCTGATCAGCTGCTAGATGTTACTTAATTACATTGACAGCTGTGGGAAAAGCCCTGTGTTCCTGCCTCTCGTCGTTTATTTACATTGCTTACAGACAGCCTTTGGGTAGAAAGTAACCTTTGTTAAACCAACGGTGTAGAAAAACTTATAACAACCACTGTTTTAGCTACCCAGTTAAATGACAGGCGTGTATTTGAGTTTACCTCGAACTCTTTGATGTTGTTTGATGAGACATACAGGCCGATGCCGATGGGGATGAAGATAAGTCCAATAACGAAGAAAGCGGGCAACACAGTGCCTGCTGTCAGGATGGGCTGCCAGGCTGGTAGTCTCTGCTGTTTGAACGCTGTGTTGTCTGGCTTTTTACTTTTCACAGCCCCTGCGCCTCCATGGTTAGCGGCACCCGAGTGGTGTCCGTCCTCTTCCTTCGCGTTGTAGCTAGACGCCATCATGGCTGCAATCCGCTGCGAGCAAAACTAATCTACTGATGACAGCCGACGGGCCTTAGTTGATCCCACACGGGTCAAACAGCGAACAAAATCGTTAAGGTAAAGTGTATAAATGTGTTAGGAATGACATGTATCCTCCAAATCCATTTATTCTACCTGACTCATTGTTTTAGTAGTAGTATTTTCGCCTGTCTCGTTAATCCCATCTAAGAAGAAGAAGCCGGAAGTTTCGTAGCCAATGGTATGATGAGACGTAACAATTACGTCATCACAGAAAATATAGACGCCCCTTTAACATTTTGCACTGTGCTGCTAAATGATGAGATCCCTTTTGTTACCTTGCAGTCTGTAATCTATTTACAGTGATTGAGGTCCTTTCAAAAAATACATCAGTTATGGTAGCATTAAAGCTACATCGGATGTGAAAAAGCATCCGGATTCCCAATTACAACATTTAATTAATTTAATTAATTATCAATTATCTCACGACTGAATGCTGAAAGTTAGATCTTCTTACAACTAAACTTTTTTTTTTGAGTCGTTTTTGAAGTTTATACAACAACAGTTTTCATGGTATAAATTCAGTGGAATTAACTTATTGACGCCCCTTTCTTATTTACATAACATTAAAAAAAAACAACTGTGACATTTCTTCATCTCTATAAGTTTGTTTTAAATAAACAATATGTAGTTCTATGTAGTACTTTGGTTCACAGCTGCTGATTGTAATGTGTTGTGTGAAAATAACTCGAGAGAACTTCAAATTATTATAATTAAAGAACTGATATGCTTCAGTATACTAGCATTGTATTTTGCTTTATTACAATTTGGAAATTTGCTAAAAATCTAAAATCTAAATTAATGCGCTACATTGGAGTTTTTGATTTGCAAAGTTACAATTGCTTTGTGACATGACTTGTCAAGTGCAGCATCAAATCTGGCGGTAAAGTACTGTGGTGTTGTGAATAGGTGGATTAGTACGATAACATAGTTCAAACAGTCATGTGCCAAGGAACTGGCCTATTCATGGACAACAATTCCCCTGCTTTATTTGCTTCACAATTGTCCTTCATTTAAGAGCATTGCACAATAGCCTTTGAATTACATTTATTTTAAAATATTTTCAGTACAAACCATTTACAGAAAAACAACAACATAATTTACATGACAAACAAGAATTTTGACTTATAATGTGTCCTTATAAAATATTATCAAAAACTTTCATGAGGGTCAACCAAAGCAAGAAGCCGTTAGTAGCAGCAAGGTGTGATATAATATTTAACTCAAATGCCCAGTACAACACAAACACAGTAAATACAGAGAATATGTTTCCATCTATTAAGCAGAAATTGAGATATTGAGATAGATAAATTCAGAAGTAAGAGTTCAAGGGCTTATTCATTACAAAAATGCCACTTTGCCTTGTTGTATGAAGATATTTATCTCTTTAAGCTCCATTATGGCATGTTTGAGTCAAGCTTTTCCACCATTTTGTAAAGAATTGCTATTCACAGTGGATTTTTTAACTTCTATCCTCATAGACTGACTCTCAGCTCGGGACTCCAGCTTCACACCACCCGAGATCCCCAGGGTTCCCAGCACAGCCTTCCCCGTCTTCAGGCTCTTGGACATTGGGATGCGGGTCAGCCCTGAGCGCGCTGGCTGGGCATCTTGCCCAGTCTGTTGACAATAGGGGAAGAGAGTACAGTTTCTCAGGCAGGAGAATGAATACAGTACAGCACTTTGTGGGGACATGATGTGTAAATAATGGAAAAGGGATTAAACCCATTATAGGAAAGAAGTAATTCAGCGTACATAAGCAATGCACACTGATCATACGTGTGAAAGGAACAGTATGAATGAAAAATGTAAATATTTAGTCATTCTTTTACTTCGATCCCAGCACTTGTCCAGGCTAGCTTTCAGTGAGCTGTTACAGTTGAAAGGCTGTTTTGTTTCAGCCACAGGGCAAAGAGCCCTGCATGCATAGCTGTTTGTGAATGTAAACACTGAGTAACAACTATAAATTACAGCATGACTGTAGCAAAGTGGCAAAACGCCACATCATTAGCTCTGGTGCTCGGAGGCCCACACATAGGGTCATTTCTGTCACGCCATCTATCTGATCCACAAAGAGCATATTACAATGGTCCAATGGAACCCCAACTCTTCGGCTCCCTTTCTTAGCAGTGTGAGATGAAGCAGTTATTAAACTTACCTTGTGAAACTCTATATGCAACCATTGTGACTCTCAAGATAAAGAATGAAATACTTGCATCCCAAGAAATATTTTGGTGAACAGGCCTTATTTACTTATTTTTTACTGAGACTGTGAAGAGAAGTTCAATACCGCTGTTTTGTCCATATGCTAAATATACACCTACAGCAGGCAGATAGCTTAAGTACAGTGACTGGAAATAAACAATTTCCTCTTAAATATCACAATACCATGTTTGTTAAAAAAAAGAACATTCGTCATTCTCGATGATTCATAGTCCCTTGAGGAATACTAAAAGTAGCAAATTGTCAATTCTAAGTTTTGTAAGGATAAAATTATTGTGATGATGTGTCTACTAGAAGGTCTCGATTTGCTATCACAAGGCTAGCTGTTACATCCAGCATTCAGTCTATGTGCTAGGTTAAGATAACTGGCTGCCCACTGTAGCCTTGTACTGAATGGAAAGATACAGAATGTGTGTTGATCTCTTTTGTCTTACTACTAAAAAAAAATACTCAGTTCAAATACTTAAGTGTAAAATTTACATTCTGACATTTCACGTTGTAGTTTTAGTCAATCTAGCACGGTACATAATCCAATCTAAGCAGCACATTTCTTAACTTAGTTGAGATAAAATATATATAAAATGTGATGCTTAGTAAATGTAAGATGGGGTAATAGTAGGAAAAAAGGTCAAGCTTTGTTTCCAGGATCCAAATTAGCTAGTTTTCACTTCCAGAAGTTCAGAATGAGTGTTTCCAAATGGTGATATGATTGAGTCCTGTTATCTGCTGGCCAGTTGCATGTGTGTGAATTCAATTAGATCCTTAGTTCACTTGGGGAAAGGGGGTAGATGTTGGTTGGCTGCAGACTGCATCTGATTGGCTCAGGTGTTTTAACTGACAGCTGCTTTTGTCCAATGGTAGGGGACTATTTCAGCAGCGCTACAATATACTTCTGTAATCTCAAAATGGATTATGGCTTGCTATTTTGACCTATTTTCTGTCTTTGTGCTAGGTTGAGATAAAACCGGTGGTAATGGTGGTAGCCTTGAACATTTTTGACAAGAGCTGTGTTTTGATCTTCTCCTTTAACTTCTTGACAAAACACAAATAGGTGTTTTTGTTGTTGACATCCCCAGCCCTGAGCCCCTCCATTTTTTTAATGATAACATTCATTAAACCTAGTTCTTTAGCCTTTTCATGTAAATAGTACATTTCTGGTGCATCACATAGAAGGCATGAACTAAACTCAAGCTATCAGAAAAAAGTTTTGTATTTGTTCATTCGGATGAACTAAACCTAAAACACTTACCATGCTTTGTGTGGGTCTGGATGAGTTGGATGCAACAGGGGATATTGTGATACTGCTCATCACTTTGCTCTGTGTGCTCCTGGTAGTAGTGGTGGTGATTTGGCGTGGGGAGCGTAAAACGGTTCCTGTTGATAAGGTCATTTCCTTGCTCTCAGTTACAGCAGTCACCGGCCTGACTACCATCTTTGGGTTGATGCTGTTGCCTAGATGAATATGGATCTTATTATCATCAGTAGTGGTGATGATACCAGTGTTGTTGTGACCCTTTCGTATTGGCATTGGGACCATCTGCTTCTCCGGGGTAACCCTGAACACAGCTCGGCCCATGGTCATCTCCTGGGGTTCTGGGGAGGCGGATGCTTCAGGAACTATAGCGGTGCTCACCGTCGTAATTGAAACAGGGGACAAGGGTCTTCCTGAGCCAGAGGAAAGAGCTCTGCTGCTCTCTGGTGATTTGGCTCTGGATATAGTTGTGATGCTAACTGGAGACTTGGCTCTTTCAGGGCCCTGAGGTCCAATGGTGGACTTCTTCTTGTGTGTTGACGCAGAGTAAGTGGGAATGATTGTGATTCTGGATTTTGGTTGAGATGGGTTGGGGCTTAGAGGAGCTGAGCTGGAGAAAACATCCTCAGCAGTGGGACTACTGATCTCAAGAGAGGCCGTGTTGTTTTGGTGGTCTGGTGTGACGCGGATGTGTAAAGGCTGCCCTCGCTTTGGGGACATTGTTAGTTCAGAAGGCAAATGATTTCCATTCATTTGCAAAGGCTTTTCCAAGCTTGTCTCATGAGCAGTGTTGTCTTTCCTCCTCATCCAGGGAATCCAGGATTTTTTCAAACTCAGGTCGCTGCTGGATGAAGAGAAACGCTCAATACCACCACTCTTTTCGGCTGGCTTTTTCAGGCACTTCTGTCTGAAGTTGTTCATGATGTGATTCTCCTCTTGAACGGACTTCCTGATAAATACAGCTGGGGTATCCTCCTCTGCTGACCCACTGAGTGATGCCTCTGTCTGTACTCCGGTGGATGTCACAGCAATGTCCACCATTCTTCTACCGTTCAAACTGGGCCTTAGGGCTCGACTATGTCGCTTAGCAACCTCCAATTCCTTGGTGAGATGGAAAACTTCCGTACCCATGTTCTTGGATTTTTCCTCCTCTTCCAAGAACCTCTGTTGCAGAATAGAGTAATCCACTTGGAGCTGAGAGAGTTGGTCTTCTTTATGCATCAGTTCATGGATCTTCTCTTTAAGGGCTACAACGTCAGCCTGTAGTTCCCTTGTTTTCACCTCCTCCCTCATGCACCGTTGTCGGAGGTCTTCTTCCTGGCTTTCCTCTTCTCCTTTCTCGATGGCTTTGTTTCGCGCGATCTGACCCCTCATTTCCTCCACCTGCTGGGAAAGAATGTTGGCCTTGTCTTGTTCAGTCATGAACCTTTTTTCCAACATGTCGTACTGATCCTCTGTCTTGATCAAATCTCCCTCAACTACTTCAAGTTGTTTGAGACGGTTTTTCAGCCGCTCGATTTCAAATGTCAGCTCCTTCACTTTGTTGTCTTCTCTTTTAACAGGGTCAGACATTATTCCCAGCTCGCATTTCGCTGCATTATTCACTGATTGCTTTTCTGCTTGCTCGAACACATCTAACCTTTTTTTCATTTGGCTGACCTTAGAATTAAGATCTGTAGTTTTGTCAACTTCATAAGCA